CCTTATATAAGTCCACCCTGTGTGTAGCATAAAAATATTTCAAAAATGGTTTTACTTAACTTTTTCCCAGTGATGAGGCTCCCTTGGCGCTGCATACCTCCCATGACATCATTGTGGAGGTGTGGCCTCCTCGAGCATGGTCCAATCCAATTCTCCTTATAGAGGAGCACTGGGGACCTAATGCACACGCGCGGTGAGTGCATCCAAGCTTCCCTATAGAAAAGCATTGAATTTTTCATTCAGATTGGATGACTTGTTGATCGCCCAAAATTCAGATGAATCACAATTTGTTGAAACAATACACGTCTCGTTTTAAGTAGTGGATCAATTGGGCGCTATAAGGTGTGTAAGGCGCTATTCCCCCTCCGACATCACCCTATGGGGGGAGGAGCTAATGCACAACTGTGGCAACTGCTGCGAGCACACTAGGGCGCCCCATAGAAAGGTATTGCTGCAAAGCTTTCCTATAGGGACTTGACTGACACTAAATGTAGAGCGTGAGGACATCCAGCGTCAGGCAAACAAAAGTCGCCTAACCACCAGGAAGTGAAACTAAAATAATTACCATGGTAGGGTTAAGGGGACAGCAGGGACAATGAGCTGAAGTGGTCTGGGTGCCTATAGTGTCCCTTTAAATACAGACAGTGCCTGGCCTGACAAATCTCATTTAACACGTGTCTCTACTTTGTCTCCGGATACTTTCTAACGGTGAAAGTAAAAGTCTAACTCAAAATGCTTTTCATATAGATTATACTTGCTTTTTGGCACTTCCTGTATTTAGCCCCCACAAAGATCAAACACAAACAAAACATGATCAAAAGGATTTATATACACTGTGATCTTCAGGAGATGACCAGACAGAATTGTGCCAATTTAAGTGTCATTTTTGTGAATATATGTAACTGGAGCTGGTGACAAACCCCTGTAATTTCCCTTGTCCCAGTTATTTCCCCCGCATTTGGTAGATTGGCCTACTGAACAATGACCACCCCCCTGCCTCATTTAACTTCAAAGAAACCACAAAGTTAAGTGCTCTCTCTGTGTGGCCATCTTGTCTCCCAAAAGCAGGCAGCGGTACTTGGTCATCGAGTGTCTGTAACTCTAATGCTGACACTCGACCCCGCAAACACAGGTAATTTGGTACGAACGCCTGCTTCTTTTCACGACAAGCCATGAGAGCGCTGTTCGCTAGGATTGTTCGCACGAACAAGGCGAACAATCACTATCTATGAGCCAGGGGAACTGTTCGACTTTTGATTTGTTTTGGGACTATTGAAGGTGACCAATCACTACCACTATTTCTCTGGAACTAATTTGGGCAGGCGCCACGTGTGCAGTCGGTCAAACTTTACCCCATTCGGCTGTGTTCGTGGGATCTAAACGCTAGATTGACATCAGCAAACCGCTTACCCACACAATGCCATACACGCTGTCTGCCATCTGCCCTGTACAGTGAAAACCGTGATTCATCCGTGAAGAGAACACCTCTCCAAAGTGCCAGATGCCATTGAATGCGCACATTTTTGAGTGGCTTTTTATTGTGGCCAACCTAAGGCACACCTCTACAATAATCATGCTGTCTAATCACCTGTGAGGTGGATGGATGGATTATCTCGGCAAAGGAGAATTGCTCACTAACACAGATTTGTGAATAATATTTGAGAGAAATGGGACTTTTGTGTACATAGAAAAAGTCTTAGATCTTGGAGTTTAGCTCATGAAAAATCAGGGCAGAAACAAAAAAGTTTTGCTTTTATAATTTTGTTCAGTGTATGTATGCCTTTGTATGTCATGTTAGGATATGAGGATTCAGAGTATCTTTAAAGGGACACAATAGGCACCCTTCCGCTCATTAAAGTGGTAAAGGTACAGTGTCCCAGGTCCCTTAACCCTGCAAAGAAGGGGGGTACTATAGGAAGCTATAGTGCTAGGAAAAATACTTTGGGGTGGGGGTGCTGTAGTGGGTGCAGGGGGCATGGGAATAAAGGCCGAAGTGGGTGCTGGCGGCATAGGAGCTGTAGTGGTTATAGGGGCTGAAGTGGGGGCAGGGAGTAATATAATATAGTGGGGACAAGGGGTAATAGAAGCTACAGTGGGGACAAGTGGTAATAAAAGCTGTAGTGGGTGCAGGGGAGTGATAGGGACTGTGGTTGTTGCAGGGGGGTAAGGGCGTAGAACGTGGAGACAGCAATAAAGGCAGTAGTGGGTGCACGGGAAAAGGGCAGTAGTGGGCATAGGAGCTTTTATGGATATGGGGTTGTAGTGGATGCAGGGGTTTAGGGGCTGTAGGAGGTGTAGGGGATATAGGAAGCTGTGGTGGTTGCAGCGGGTATAGAGGCTGCAGGGGTTTTATGGCGTATAGGGGCTGTAGTGGGCGCATGGTATATAGAGACTGTAGTGGGTATAGGGGCTATAGGGTATAAGGGCTGTAAGGAATATATGGGCTGTAGTTTGTGCATGGGGTGTCTGCATGGGGTACAGGGGCTGTAGAGTGTGCAATGGGTAACAAAAACTGTAGTGGGTTAAGGGAGCTATAGGGACTGCAGTGGGTATAACGGCTGCAGGCGTTGTAGGAGCTGTAGTGGGTTTAGGGGCTGCATGGGGTATTTGAGCTGCAGGTGCTGTAGTGGGTGTAGGGGGTATAGGGGCTATAGAGGTTAGAGGGGCTGTAGTGGATATATAGGCTGTAGTGGGTAGAAGGTAAAGGGGCTGCTGGGGGTAGAGGAGAAGCAGGGGGTAGAGGGGCAACAGGGGGCAGCACGGAGTAGGGGAGCAGCCGGGAGTAGGGAGGCAGCCGGGGGTAGAGGGGCAGCAGGGAGGGGAAACAGAGGGTTAGAGGGTAGAGAGGGAACATGGGAGCAGCAGTGAGTATTGGGGCAGCAGAGAGTACGGGGCAGCAGGGGGTAGATGGGGCATTATGGGGTAGGGGCAGCAGGAGGGAGTAGGGGGCAAAAGGGCAGCAGAGGGTAGAGGAGATGTAGGGGGGTATAGGGGTTATAATGTGTAGAAGGTAGAGGGCGGTGGTGGTTGTAGGGGCTGTGGTGGGTGTAGGGGCTGTAGTGGGTAGAAGGCAGAGGGGCTACCGGGGAAAGAGGGGCAGAAGGACTGCAGTGGGTAGAGGGGCTATAATGGGTGGAGTGGCTGCAGGAGGTAGAGGGGCTGCAGTGGGTAGAGGGGCTATACTGAATGGAGAGGCTGCAGGGGGTAGAGGGGCTATAATGGGTGGAGTGGCTGCAGGAGGTAGAGGGGCTATACTGAATGGAGAGGCTGCAGAGGGTAGAGGGGCTATAATGGGTGGAGTGGCTGCAGGAGGTAGAGGGGCTGTAGTGGGGCTGCAGTGGGTAGAGGAGCTATAATGGTAGAGGGGCTATAATGGCTGCAGAGGGTAGAGGGGCTATAATTGGTGGAGTGGCTGCAGGTAAAGGGGCTGTAGTGGGAAAATGGGCAGAAGGGCTGCAGTGGGTAGAGGGGCTGCAGTGGGGGCCATTATATAAATCTTTTATATTAAAAAAAAAAAAAAAAACAATTCCCTGAGCCTTACCTTTGGCCAGAGGGGGGGATCCTTCTCACTGAAGCATGCTGTCTCTCCCGGAAGTGCTGCCTCAAACACGGATCAGGCAGCTCCGCATGGCTCCCTGACTGTTTGACACATAATGTCATTTCCTCTATAAGGAGCCGCACAGAGCTGCCTGATCTGTGTTGCAGACAGCTCTCCTGCTGGGCTCATCAGAGAGGCACACTAAGAGACAGCCTAGCCCTAGTGGGTCTGTAGGAGGGCCCATTAGCTGTCTCTCACTGTGCCCGGCCAAACAAGGGGGAAATTAATTTTGTAACAGGGGCCTGTGGAGTGCCGTGCGGGACCCTGACTGACTGCAGGCTGGCTGGGGAGATTGTTTAACTCCCCAGCCAGCTGTTACTTTCATGCACAGCGGGCAGGCGGGCGGGCCCACTAGAGCCTCTGGCCCTCGGTCCATGACCAATTTGCCTGCATGCTTAGTCCGCCCCTGGTTTGGCGCTCATATCCAGGATATCCGGGGATATAAACCTATAATTCAATTATCTCAGGTACAGAAAAAATATCCAGTACCCCAAAAGTGCCCCCACCATAACTAGGAACCCCACAATCGTCACATCCCCGGATAGCCCTGATCTGAGTGTATAACATATTCCATGCAAGGGATCCTCTTAGTTTTAGGGTACGAATGCTCCCAGTTTGGTAGTTCATTTCTCCTGAACGTCGTTCGCATAGTTGGTTGGGAAGTAGAACGGGCAGCGTTCTAATCTTTACAGGGGTTCGTGAGAGTGCCTAGCCGAAAAGAGTTCCAGGCACTCGACATCCAAGTGCCGCTGCCCACGTTCGGGAAACAAGATTGCCGCCATTCTTTTGTCGACCACATGCATTTGGTTAAACGAAATGGCGGCCACCCAGGGGAAGCATTCATTAATTACTTCCCTTGTGGCTTTGCACTTAAGTTGCTGGTGTGAACGTTCTAATGGGGTACAGGGGTGGTCCTTGTTCAGGAGACGAATGGAGGGCGTTCACTAATAACTCCCAAACTGAAAAGGGAAAAAACACACGAAAGGGGCCAAAGCATACGAAATTGGCGGTAGGTTCCGCCACAAAGTCTTTCTGGCATGTGTCTAAGGAGGCAGTTTTATGGTGCAGCATTCCGCAAAATCTTTATTTTATGCAAAAAAATTATATGGAGATTTGAGCTTGCAAAAATACAGCATATTAATGAGGCACAAATCTATGAAATGCATTAGTTGTATTGCTGGAAGGAGTTTTTTTTATAGACTAGCCAAAACTATGGTATTCAGGAACAAGCAGGTGAGGTTGTAAAGACATGCACTGGTTCTCAAAATTTGAGGATTCTTGCCTTGTGCACCTTTTCAGTTATGAGAAACAGTCTAGAACTAGATAGGTCTCAGTGTAGTTGTTTATTTTATATACATAAATAGGTTACACACAGGAAAGGATTGCTCAATACAAAACGCTTTTATTTTGCCTCTCCTTTATTCTCTCCGGATTCCAGCTTTGGGCTCTCTGGAAGTTCACGGTGTGTAGGGAAGGCTTCCCATGGGCTGCTCAGATCAAACTTCCTGAATTCCTGGGCCAGCTGCACAGGTTCGGCAACCACGCGTTTCACCTCATCATCATAGCGCACCTTCAAGATCATAACAGAGGAATCAAAAATGACAATTAACCGCCAAGTGTCTCCCGTAATTCACTGATTGCATGCTACATGGTGTATATGCACTGAAGGCCTGACCATGTTAAAAGCAATTTACCATTTCAATGAAAGCAGCTGAAATAGTTGCAACCTGGGAATGTAAAATCCCTCTAATCTCAGGCAACACTGATGCCTCTGTTTTAGCAGCCATATTTGTAGTCTTTTTGTTTTTTTAACCCCTGCTCCAGCCGCATAGAGGTAAACTGTTAAAAACTATATCTGCAAATAAAATATGTGTTGCTAACACAAAACTGTATTCTCTACAAAACGATATTACCCACCACTGGTATACCTGAATACAAATATATAAAAATAGATCTAAAGGTATCCTACCTCCACGTATCCAGACAGGGGAAAGTCTTTTCGGAAAGGATGTCCCTCAAAACCATAGTCTGTTAGAATTCGCCTTAGATCAGGGTGATTGGCAAAAAATACCCCAAACATATCCCATACCTAAAATAACATAAAAAGATCATTGATAGCCATTAAATCTGTTTCTACATAAAAAAAATTTTTAATAAAATCAAAATCACCTCTGCAGCTTCTGAAACTATTTCCTATCTTTGTCTTGAACAATCAGATATTAACCCTAGTGTTGCTGAATTATGTACAATGTGTAAGTATGGGGTAAGGTACTAGAAAGGGAGAGATCACTGTAGAAACCAAGGGAAAGTTCTTGACAAACTCTCCACATTTACAGCTTTGTCTGGATCTAACCCATTCAACAATATGCTGTATTTTAATAATAATAATTTAGGAAGGAAAAAACAAAACAAAAAGCTACTCAGATCTGAAGCTCCTGCATTTCCTGCAAACCATGGCTTTATAGAGGCACCAAGACCACATCATCTCACTGAAGTGGTCTGGGTGCAGTGGCAGTGCCCCCCTTAGTCCTGCAAATTAAATCATTGCAGTTTTAGAGAAACTTTGAGAAATGTAATTTAATCATTGCCTTTTGGCTGTAGAAAAACAGCAGCTAAGCAACAACTCCCAGAAATCAAGTCATCATATACAGTAGTATTTTGGAACAAAAAGATGGACAACCAAGTTGTAATAAGTAGAAAGGGTGAGTTTATCAACCAACATTTAAAAAAAATAAAAATAAAGAAATAAATTTAACAACTGCATGACAATGCAGTTGGAGAACGGACAACCAACTGTTCTTTAGTAGTACTTCAACGGAAATAGCTGTTTTATTGCGGACTACATTACAAATTGTACATGCTTTGAACTCTAAACACCGTATAAAACACATCAATTTATTTTGAGAGATCTTATGTCGATTGTTATTAACCTTCCCATGAACATAACTTGGTGCAATAAAGTTTTTAATAATGTGTGCTTTTTTTATTATTATTATTATTATTATTTTGTGGAAAAATCGACTGGACATACATTCGTGAATGAACAGATTGCAGAGGAAGTCAGGTTGAATACAGTATGATCTGGCATTTGACATATCTATACAATTGCTGGTTCTTTAAAGTGACAGTTAAGCCTGCAATGGATGACACACAGATTCCGAGATAGGGGATACTATCCACTGTTATGGGTAATTTGTATTTCTCATGTATCAGTGCCGTGTAATGTGTGCTTTTTTACAAAAATAATTGGTGGCTGTTTCAGTAATATTTCCCTTAAAAACAGATCTTCTAATAAGAGTGGCCAATGTTTCTGATTTCCAGTGTTGTCTATTATAAGTTATCGCGAATCTAAAATAGTGTATTTTTCAGATTATTTACCGATAGTTTTTTTTTTGTACTAGCATTTTTCTCATTTCCTTTTCAATATTATATATTTGTTATACCCTTTTTCCACAAGTTTATTTATTTTTTATAATTTATGCTTGAGATTTAATGTGTAATTTCTCCTAATTACTGTTATTTGACTTTTTGGCTTTGCCTCCAAGCCATGGTTTAAAATGACAGCTTTGATTTAATTTGTTGACGCTTCACAAAGAAAGTTATATCTAAAGAAATTGAGTTCCATATTTTAAAACCGCATCAAAAAAATAATAATTGACAATTATCCTATATATACTCTACATATTTAAATTTCCGAGCCTTTCCAAATTATAATATCATCAATGAACCTCCGCCAAGTTCGCACTCCAGCTATGTTCAGATGATATAAAATGGACTTCCCAAAAACTTGCGTAAATGTTAGTGTAATTGGGGGCAAACTTGGTCCCCAGGGCGGTACTTTTAATCTGTGAAATCCCCATCAAAAACAAAGTAATTATGATCCAAATTAATTTGGATACAGATTAGAATAGTCTTAGGTATTTAGAGATATTTCCATCTTCCCTTAAAAAGTACCCTTCCAACCATAAATAATGACTGAATACAGAGAAGTGACAGCTAGCACTGTCCATCTAAACTCTTCCTCCCATTCAATATTTTCCATCTTCTGCAGGATGGATGTATAATCTTTAACATTGCCTCCTGATCATATTTCTATAGATATATATCTACAAATGCAGATAAATTTGTGCCCATTGATTTAATCCTGCTTATTGTTGGTCTACTTCAGAGATGGCTGATGACATTGTGAATCTAAGGGAGGAAATTAATTGAAATAATAGGTATAATGGGATTTTCGTTAAAGAGGAATTTACAATGATCCTCTGAAATAACATCTCGAGTTAGTTCTTCTTGTAGTATTATGTTAATCAATTCAATTAAATAATTGGTGAGATTATGATTTAATTTTATATATACGTATTTACATCTCCACAATTTGCATAGTCTCTTCCCAGTGTTGTATAATCCTTCTCTCACCACCAATACTTCCAATTGGTATCCTTTTGAGAGAAATCCACTCTGCGTTGTGTTTTAATAGTGAATGTAATATCCCTGTGTAACCTCTTCCAAGAACTAACATATATCTTTATCCCCTTGTCCAGATAAATATATGACTAGCACTACTAAGGTATTCTACCCGATATTACAAATAAACAGCCAACACCATAGTTCTTACCAGAGAGAAATCTTTACTTAGAATCTGCCCAGTTGAATATTACAGAAGTAGAATGTTACAGAGTTATAGTATTACAGAGTTACAATACATTCATGACACTCATACATTCCATCTATCTAATACTATCTGCTACATTGTGTATAATAATATTGGCTACATTATGTATGTGCTGTGCATGTTATGGGCAGCTTGTGTGTCTTACCAAAACCTAATCTAATGTGATGTCAGTATCTTCTATTTTTAAAGGAATTGGTTCCCATGTTGTAAATAGCAAATTTCTCAGCTCAATTGATATGTAAATGTGATTTACTTTCCCAAGGCCCAAAGTGTTGTCTATCCTGTTATTTTATTTAAGTGTTAACTTTCCCAGCCATCCCTTTGCCTCTAACCTAAGGTGTGTTTTCCTAGATAGGGACTCCTATGAAGACCAGTTAATATGTAAATGTGATTGGTGCCTTTCAGGTGCTGTATCTTTTCAGCTATCTAAACAGAAACTCCCTTTTAAGATAATTCCTGACCTCCCATACACACAGACTTAATCAAGCACATATTAAACAGATATATACATAATATTTTCCCCAACACCCAGTAATAGCCTGGAGACATGACCACAATTTGCCCCCCTTATCTACTTACTTTTTTTTTTTTTTTTACTAGTGCTTTTTTTTTTTTTTTTTTATTGCTTTTAATGTGAGAATGACATTTTTGTTTTAAATATTATATTATTGTATATGTTTTTATGGTGGTCCCTGAGGAAGCCCAGTGAGGGATAAACATGCTGGGCAGAATATTTTATCATTGTAACATTTATATTTAATGAATATTCTGACATATATACCTACCTAGTTGGAATCCCTATCAGAATTGTCACTGAGCCAAAGAAGCAGTGGGCACCAGCCCCCCAAAGACCAGGGAGGCACCTCTTATGCGCTGATTACCATCATCTTGTGAATGCAGTTGCACAGCAGTGTCACAATATTTTTCCAACTATACTGCACTATGATATTTGTCTTTTTAGTTCTACTCTATAGCTGTATCCCCTCATAGTTGATACAGATTTGTTTTAGCTTGTTTGGCTTTATATGCTGCATGTAAGCAAACTGCCGTCTATTCCTACACAAATAGTGACAGAGCAGAAGTAGAAAGATATCAGAGAGGCAGAATTAGCAGACTCAGGAGACAGCACATCTAAACAGATTTCACAAATCATAACAAAATAGTAAAATTAATTCTACAAAGTGTATTTTAAAATTTTCCCTCAAATATGTAACACTGGCTGCCTAGCCGCGTTTATAAAACATGTTCTTTAAATATATACTCCTAGATTCAAACCACCAAATACTTTAAACGGCAGCAATAAATGATGAAGTGGTTTATTAGTTTGGGGAAATAAGAGTTAAAAGAATGTTCTCACCTCTCTTTCGTACCAATTTGCAGCCTGATGAAGAGGTACAATAGAATCGATTGGAGAAAGCTCATCGGCATATGTCTTCACTCGAATGCGGGAGTTAAATTGCAAGGACAGGAGATTGTAAACAATCTGAAAATAGAATAAGGATCAATCAATAGATTAAAATAAAAATATCTAAAAGATATATATGGATATTTAGAACACCACATGTAGGTTAAACACCAGTACAGGATTCCATACAGTTTTACAAGATGCCCTGCTTCAATGTAGCTAGTTAAGAACAAAAACGTACTAAAGATAGAGTGTAGAGAGTAGTTGTAAATTGAAAATGTTCAGATTTAACAAGTGGTGTGTGGAGTGCCTGAGTTTTCTGTTCTGAGTCCACTTCTCTTTAATCTGTTTATAAATAATCTTGAAGTGGGCAATGCAAGTCATTTTTTCAGAATTTGCAAAAGACACAAAACACGTCAGAAAATACAGTCTGAACATAATATGTCACAACAGAGGGATTTGGATAAATTGGGGAACTGGGCAGGCAAGTGGCATATAAGATAAAGGATATGTAAACATAAGCATTCTTCGAATAAGGAAAAAACTTAGGAAAAATTATAGATCACAAACTAGACAACAGTAACCAATGCCGGTCTGCTGTTGCTAAAAAGTAGTAAGGTCATGTATAAAAAGGGGTTTTGATTCACGTGATCCAAATATAATTCTGCCTCTTTACAAATCAATGGTAAGACCCTACCTTGAATATGCAGTGCAATTTGGGGCACCGGTTTTAAAAAAGGATATTGCAGAACTAGAAAAAGTACATAGGCAACCTGCAACATTAGTAAGGGGGATAGAAAACTGTTATAAGGGAATGCTAGAAAAACTGGATTTCTTTTCTTTAGATATGATAGCACTATACAATTATAAACAGGGTGAGTACAAACCACTTTGTGCTAATCTGTTCATTAGCAGGAAGCGCTCACCCATTGAGACTAGAAGAAATTTATTTTTGCTTGCAGTAAGCACAATGAAGATGTGGAATTCTCTGCCTAAAGAGGAATGCCGAATATTTTTATAATGTGCGACTACAATGTAAACTGCCATTTAAAAGACTTTATTGAATAGCACGAGAACATTTCTGAACATCCCCTCATTTGGCTTTAATTCCTTTACTACAGTTGCCCCAAGATTGTGCTTAGTTATTTATTAATTTTTTTAAATAGAAAATCATTAATAATGCCCAAACTTACTGCTAGATATCCAACAGTGTTGATCATGCTTGGCACATTTCACAAACACAAGATTCCTACTCACAAGCAATAAATTACATCACTCTGAAAACGAGCGACTAAAACCACATACATCTGCCTTGTTAAATCAGTTATCTTGGCTGTATTAATTGTATCCTACCTCAAAGCGATTTGTTCTCGTTGGGATATCGACAGCAGTTAGATCAGCTAGGGATTTAAACTGAGCATTGGTGTGATCCTGAAGGAAGGTGATGACCGGCACCACCCCATCTGGGTGGATCATTATTTCCAGCTCTCCATAGCATGTTACCTATGTCAAAATATCAAAAACATACATGGAAAAAATAAATAAAAATGAAAATACCCACCACCATTTATTTTGCACATTGGCAGTCACAGAGAATGGGAAGGGGGACAACGACAGACCTTACACTGTAATTGAAACACTTATGTCTCTCGATTTAAGAGGAATTGGTAGGTAAAGTAGCAGGACACCTACAGTCTGAGAGAAAGCCACCAGAGGCAGTCTTAGTCCTGCAACATAAACACTGCAGTTTTTCAGAAACTATAATGTTTTTCATTGCAGGCTAAGGCAGACAGGGACACTGCACTCAGACCACATCAGTGAGATGAAGTGGAAGTGGTCTGGGTGCCACTAGGATCCCTTTAACAAATATGGCAAAATACTGAACACACTACAGTAAAGAGCAGAAATGTAAATGTGTAGAAAATATTAAAACGTTGTCACAAACACTGTTTTATTAAGTAACAGGTCAGTGTGATCCAATTAAACTGGATTAACACGATTTACAGAAATTTCCACATTACTACAAGGTGGTAAACCTGCACCGCTGACTCCTAGGCTGACTTTGGTTGGGTTAGAAAAAAGGAAAAAATTAACTATTTTTAACAAAGGTGAAAACAATGAAATCCTAATTTTTGACAAATGACACAGAAGTGAATCCATGTTTGTGTTTATGTTGATGGAATATATAGGAATTTGTATTTTAGCTACCTCAGCCTGTATGTGGATTGGTGTTGGCGTGTGTGTTTAGATAAGAAGGAAAGTATTGAGGGGACAGCTACGTGAGCAGGCAGATTGCACAGTGAAGAAAGAGCAGCAGAGACTGAAGGGAGGGAGGAGGGGGGGACAATAAACAGGGTTATTCACTAATGTATGAATTTCAGATTTAAGGCCAAAGTAGCAGAAATAGAAGCACAGCTGACACAGAAATGTTCCATTTTGACAACTTTGGCCTTCAGTTTGAAATTCTTACTGAACTGCATAACCCTGAAAGTGATGGATAGTAAAGACCTGGAGGCTCTAGGTATATGCCATGAGACTGTGGAGTGAATAGGTATTGAAGGGACAATAGCTGGGGACTGACAGTAATGGATCATGAGGCCTGTGGAATGACAAAAGGGACAGATTGTGCGACAAATTGAAAGCAGCCTGGGCAACTTATGGTAAAAGACCTTCAGACTCAGAGTACTATGTACATAGAAAAGAAATAGAGTAGGTCAAATGGACCTGCAGCCTTATGTTATATTTCACGTTAAGGCAGAAGCAAATGGAAAATGGAGCCACAGAACATCACATTACAAATTTGATATAATTATAAGGATGTGATATTTCGCATTGTAAAGAATTTGAAGAATTTGCCTGAATCACTGCTGGGCCATCTGGATGAAAAGCAAGCTGGGTTTATTTACTAAAATGGGAACTGTGGTAAATTAAAAAGGGAATAGAAATGTTAGGCCTAAATAGTCAGTTGAAAAATATCAGTATCTCATCTATTTTGGCGTAAAATGTGTAATTCACCTTCTAATTCTCCACAATTACCACTTTAGAAATAACGTAAATATAGGAATGACTTCATTTACTAAAGGAATTTAGACTTAACATGTTGCTTGTTTATTTACATAAAAGTACAGGTATCAGACGGGGAACTCACCTGGACCTGCTGGACGTACTTTGGCAGAATCTCAGCAACATACTCTCCAAATGCAGAGAGTTGGTTTACTAATACAGCATCTGCCGGTCTAACAGTGGCTAGAGTTGAAAAATGTAGTATGTTAAAATATACCGTTTACATGCTTTAAAAATAGAATCAGCAATAAAAAATTATAAATTAAAGTGAGCAGACAACTAAAATTAGGAGGCCCTGGACATGCTAGGAAATCCATTGACAACACAGACATTAATGGCCCATTTATAAAGAAACACTACTGAATGTGTGAAATGCCATACACTTTATACTGTTAATGTGACTTGGGTCCGAACGTACATTGCTGAATGTATTTTGGTACAGGAACATCAATTTAAAAAAAAAAACAACAACAACAAAAAACATTTAAGATATTTTTGAAGTTTATAAACATTAAATCATTTGATGCACTGATTAAAACTTTGCAATATTATGAAGAACTTACGTTTAGTTTCGGATGTTGTCCCTTCATATCGTACCTGTGGTAGCACACGGGCAGCACAAACTGCAAATATATACAAACATGACCATGCAAATTCATATAAATCCAAAACAGACTGGATTATTCACAAAAGGTGAAGAATTGACAAACTGCTACATTTCTTCAAGCCAGTTTATCAACATTTATGTTTAGAGAATATTCCCAAATTGGGGAGAATTAACAAGAAAACTTATGCCAAATTAACCAAACTAGAAGAATTGTCTAACTCTTTCTTTATTTGACAGCTGGGCTAACATCAGCAATCCATTTGTCAACTATCCACAATTTTTGGTTTAAAGGAACACTACATCCACTATAACCACTACAGCTTTTTATAATGGTTATAATGCCAGGAGCACCTTGTGCTCCGTGTGCACTCTAGTGGTCATGGAGCTTGAACTGTTACCTAAATCATGTATCAGTATTATTTTGTCTGTTACTTGCTGTTGTCTATCACCACTGTAAAATTGTAAAGCAAAGTAAAATGTTGGATGCAAATTTAATACAGTTGGTCTATTTCCTGATTAATACAAAACTCTGTGATTAACAATGGAGTTTCTTGCTATAGCAATTTATTCAGCCTTTTACTGAAATCATACCTAACGTTTGACATTTAAAGGGACACTATAGTCCCTAAAACAAAATCATCTTAATAAAGCAGTTTTGGTGTGTAGATCATGCCCCTGCAGTCCTGCTTCTCATTTCTCTGCCAATTAGGAGTTAAATCACTTTGTTAATGCAGCCCTAGCCACATCTCCTTGCATTTGACTTACACAGCATTCCTAAACACTTCCTGTAAAGTGAGATGTAACGTTTATACTTCCTTTATTACACAGTCTGTTTAATTTAGAATTGCTTTTCTCCTGCTCTGTTAACCAACTTTTAGACCTTACAGGAGCCTCCTGTGTGTGATTACAGTTTAATTTACAAAATTAAGGGTAAACAAAGTTAAAGTCTGATTGAAAACAAATCAATTTTTTCATGAAGTGTGTCTCAGTCATAGTTGGGGTCGTACGACTAGGGCTACATGAACAGAAACAAGACAGCGACTAGAGGCGCTTCCGGTTCGTTAGGCAACTTTTGGTCGCCTAACTGAGGCTGGACATCCTCATGCTCTGCATGAGGACACCTAGTGTCCACTAAACCTCATAAAAAAACATTGATTCAATACTTTCCTACAAGGTAGTCCGAATGTGATCACAGGGGGTAGGAGGAGCCTGACCCAGCGCCGAGGGACATTGGCGGTGGAAACAGGTAAGTGACAAAATGGGAGGGGGTGCGAGTAAGTGGAATACAACTTTATATTCCTGGCACTGTAGCTTCCCTTTAACTTCTAAAATGTGATTTAACTCCTAAAAGAGAATTGAGCATTGATACTGCAAAAGCATAATCAATACACGATAGCCGTTTCATTAAGCTAAAGTTATTTTGATGCCTATAATATCCCTTTAATTTATTTTGCACTATTTGGCATGCTGAGCATTATTGCAAACCAAGGCAGGATGACCCTGACATATATCTATGCCAGTAAGCCATAATGTGTAATTATTATTTATATAGCGCCAACAAATTCCGCAGCGCTGTACAATGGGTGGACTTACAGACATGTATTTGTAACCAGACGAGCTGGGTGCCCAGGGACAGAGGGGTTTGAGGGCCCTGCTCAATGAGCTCACATGCTAGAGCCACACAGCTAGCAGCAATTCTAAATGGCAAATCTGACTTCCATTCACACTGACACACTATTAGTCACTAGACTACAATCAGAATGGAGGCACAGGAAGCTCCTCCATGATAATAATAATACTACTGCCAGTAATTCCCAGCTCAGTTAATAACTCAGTATAGTGAACACCATAGGGCTGCCATATCTAACCTGCCTACATTCCTCATGACTCCCAGCCAGCTGTCAGGTTGGCTGAGCATGATGGGGAGCATTGTTTACACCTGCTGTCACTGACATGCTGGGAGCTGGTTGTCATAACATAGAATGAGGTCTCAGAGTATCCACTCCCCAGAGTGAGTGAGAGTGAGTGTCTGCCTCCCCAGTGTGAGTGTGAGTCTGCCTCCCAGTGTGAGTGTCTGCCTCCCCAGAGTGTGAGTGAGTGTCTGCCTCCCCAGTGTGAGTGTGAGTCTGCCTCCCAGTGTGAGTGTCTGCCTCCCCAGTGAGAGTGAGTGTCTGCCTCCCCAGTGTGAGTGTGAGTCTGCCTCCCAGTGTGAGTGTCTGCCTCCCCAGTGTGAGTGAGTGTCTGCCTCCCCAGTGTGAGTGTGAGTCTGCCTCCCAGTGTGAGTGTCTGCCTCCCCAGTGTGAGTGTGAGTCTGCCTCCCCAGTGTGAGTGTGAGTGAGTGTCTGCCTCCCCAGTGTGAGTGTGAGTGAGTGTCCGCCTCCCCCCTCCCTCACCTCCTCGGAGTAGGCTCGGGCCGCCCTCACTCCAGCCAACATGATCCCACCGGAAGCGGCTCGGAGCTGGCGGACACAGACAGCAAGGACAACCTGACAGAGCGGAAACCGGGGGCAGGTCCGACCGGCAATGCGCTCCGGGTAACTTCCGGCGGGCGGACAGGCGGACAGGCAAGAGAGTTCCGGCCGTAAAGTGAGAGAGCGGAGCTGTGGGAGCCGGGCTGGCACGGGGACACGGGGGTAACAACTATCCGATAACACGGGGACACGGGGGTAACTATCCGGTGGGAACACTGCTCCCAGTAACACCGGGGACGGGGCGATAACACCGCGGGGTATTCACTAAACGGCGATCTGGCGGGGTGTAGGCCCCTGTAGCGGAGCTGGAGACATGGTGGGTGGGGGGCTGGGGGGGGGAGTTCAGCCATTGTTTCCTATATCCGGCATTTCCCATGGGAGTCTGCGATTTATTTAATAAAGCTGTCTGTGTGCGCAGAGCCTGGGGCAGTAAACACTGTGTCACCGTGAAATAGCCCGGCTGTCACCGCACAGGGGCCACCAATTTATTGTTCAAACTAGTCCTCACCCCCTCAGTCACCCCCTCCCCCAGGCCAGGATTTAGGGGATACCCAGCCGTGTCTCCCATGTTCTGATTTCTTTTCTAAAAACACCTTAGACACAAATGGGTAACCCCTAAATCCTGGACTGGGGGAGCCTAATCAGGACTGGTTTGCCAACTTTGGGGTTTACGCATTCATAAACGGTTAAACCACTTAAGGTAAGGCTTGGCTTCCTGGCACCATGACAAGTTAAGTGAGATGAAGTTGTTATGGTGCCTGGAGTGTCCCTTTAAGTCATTTAATGTTATTCTCTAAACTCTGAATTTTAAAGTATTCAAAACCAAATGGCACAATTTAGGCAAACAGCTGATTTGAGATATTCTCCAAATCTGTATCCGACACAGTTTGCCTTTCAAATTGTAGCAATTTGAAATCCAGATTTAACAAGATTATTCACTAAACTTTGAACTATTGGAATTTGAAATACAAATGACAAAACCGAGGATCATATACTACAGTAGTTTTCAGCCCAGTCCTAAAGTACCCCCTACCATGCCAGGATTTAGGGAATACCCAGTTGTGTCTAAGGTTTTTGTTTTGTTTTTGTTTTTTTAGAAAGTAAGAAAAAACACCATAGACACAACAGGGTAATCTCTAGTTCCTGTCCTGGTAGGGGATACTTGGGGACTGGGTTGACAACCCCTGATATTGATCATTTGGAAAAACTCTCCAACTCGTCTACCATCACAGCTTGGATACATTAGCCTCAAGTTTGCCATTCAGATCTCTGTTTCGCTACAGTTTGCTGTTCAGCCAATCCCCCAGCTATGTTTGTAGTTTAGCTACAAACATAAGTTCCTTGCAGTTCACAAATAAGTGAATAACTCTGTATGATTTATTTACTATACCGTGACTTATGCTGATATTCACAACAATTTGCAGAATTCAGATTAAAATAGCCTAGCTGTTTCTTGAATCTATCTATTTCGCTTGTAAAACTGAAAGGATTATTCACTTAAAGTCAAAGTTTTGTAAATTAATTCTGAATGAAAAAAACAAAGTCAAACATATCTGGTCTGTTTCAGGTCACTTCAGATCATTTATGTCATATTATATACTCTGCATGTTAAGTAAACAGTAAAGATTTAGCCACTAAACTCTGAGTTGTGATAGATTGAAAATCAGATTGATAAAATCAGCTAAGAGTTGTTTTTTTAAATGTGTTGTTTTGAGGTAAATTTGTGCAGTTATGTTTCTTTAGGGAATAAATGCTTATTAGAAATTTACCAAACTGCCTCTAATTTGTTCTGGGTGGACTCCGAATCGGTTTTAAATTGGTTAAAAAAAAAAACCCAGAGTCATAAATACAGGCAGGAGTCGCAGCCCATTTATGAATAACTACAAATTACAAATCATGGACTTTAACAGCTTGTTGGCCGTTTTACGTACTTATTTAATAACAGATGTATGTTTTTGACTTTTTCTTTCAAGTTGCAGAAATCCCAGTTTTGATTTAAACATGGATCCTTCAGAGGATGCTAGCGCTCAGAATCTTGGCAGCTCCACGGAGGAGAATTATTTTGTAACCTACACTTTCACAGATCGATCCCACAGCAGCAGAGTAGCTCAGAGCATCATGAAGCTCTGTATGGAAGAGGAGCTGTTTGCTGATGTCACAATTCTAGTGGAAGGAAAGGAGTTTCAGCTTCACAGGTTGGTCCTGTCTGCTCAGAGCTGCTTCTTCCGCTCCATGTTTGCTTCAAACCTGAAGGAAGGCCGAAACCGCGTGATTGAGCTCCAAGATGTGAGTGAAAGTGTTTTCCAGCTCCTGGTGGATTACATCTATCACGGCACGGTTAAGCTAAGGTTGGAGGAGCTGCAGGAAACGTACGAGGTGGCAGATATGTATCAGCTGACAGCATTGTTCGAAGAGTGCTCGCGCTTTCTCGTTAGAACGGTTCAGGTTAAAAACTGCCTGCAGATCATGTGGCTGGCAGACCAGCACAGCGACACATCACTCTACACAGCAGCCAAACACTGCGCCAAAACACACCTGTCTCAGCTGCATGACTCAGAGGAATTTCTTAACCTTCCATTACGGCTACTTACAGACATCATTGCAGGTAATGTAGCAGTGCATTCCTCATCTGTTCCCTGTATTGTGAAGGGGAAGAGTAGTGTTGGCTTACAGATGGCCTTCTAGTGAGCACTTATGAGCTATATTATTATAACATATACCAGGACAAGTAACAAGTATAAATATACGCTGTGTCTGATCTGAGTTTTTATGGTAAAGTGGTTCACATTACCAGGTTTAGAATATATTAACTGGCTGAAAGGCGTCAGCCTACACTCTTTGCCAATCAATACTATTTAAAACTGGTATGAGTAGGTATGATAATGCCTGATTTATCATACCAACTCAAACCATAAGAACTACAGGTGACTGACACAATTAGGTAAGTGTCAAACTGTTAGCAAACAAATTGATGGATTATCCTCAAACACTACCATGGGTCCCTGGCACCATACCTATTACAGAAATCTCTTAAAGATAACAAGCAGTGTAACAAATCAAAATGAGGAGCCCATCCTACAAACTGCTTAATGCCCCTTCCCATGTTTCTTTCCCCTTTAAAAGTGTATAAACAAATATGCAGCCTTTATTATTTCTGGTGACGCTGTATCATTAATATCCTTCAAGCTGCAGTGAATCCCTGAATAAGGATTAGGTTACTTGTGCTTACATTAACTGGACAATAAGTTACACTGCCTGTTAACAGAGTTCCTTGAGCCCGGGTACTGGCATATCGGTACATTATTGACACTACTAATTTGTAGCTGTTGTTCCCACAGTGGCATTTCACTCTGTTAACAGGCAGTGTAACTGTATCACTTGAGGATTTCTTACAACAATTATTTGAACTAAAATTTGTTTGTATACCCCCTTTTAACTATTTACATTAAAAGTGAAGTTTTAATTATCTTTCCTCCTTTTGTGATCTCCCTGAGCCCAACCTATCCTAAGGTCACCCCTCTATAACGAGGCAACTACCACTCTGCAGGACACTATCATTTATCCTGACCTTTCTCCTGTCTCCCTTCCTTATTGTTTAGTTTAATAGTGCATTTCGTTGCACTAGGGGTTAACCCCCGCTCAGGAGTAAGATTATTGTACTATCTTCCTTCCCCTTGTTTTTTGTTACATTAACTGGAGTTTACTGGGATTTCAGGGTAGCCTCGAAGACTACAAGTTGATTGTTCTGTAAGGTTGAACATGCTTCCGCACCTTAAAACCTATAGCAAGGAAGGAGATTTTGTGCTATCTTGCCATTCTCCATAAAGTCTAAAGGCTTACTAAAATCCACTTTAAAAAATGATAAATACGGAAGTGGTTTTAATTCTTACATTGTTACCTTTAGTTTACCTATGTCTCAGCTGTAAATAAATCCCTTGTTCCTTATATCAGGCTCATAGTGATCAATGCTTAGATGTTTTGTTTTCTCTCCTGTAACAGATGGAGTTCCTTGTTCACAGAATCCTACAATGGCTATCAAAAGTTGGATACATTTCAACAAGGAAGAACGCGAGGAGTTTTCGGACATTCTGCTGTCCAGTCTGAAGGTAAACATGTTGACGATTTTAGTTTTCATTTTTGTAAAGAAAACTAAACATCTATCTTAAAGAAGTAGGAAATGCAGGTCTAGGAGGACACCGATCCCTCAATCCCTCTTCTTTCCTAAGTGTTGCATAGTTGTGAATGATGACACTGGAATTTTCACTGTTCTATTGAATTGGTAAGAGCGTAGAGATCGTGAGATTGGTGCCACCAGCACTGTTAGAATGGGCTGTAAACGTCACAAAGATTACAACATCCGTTGAACAAGCATTGTTAGAATAGACTGGAAAGAGCACAGAGAAGCAGATCTCCATCTTCTTTTCAATAGATGTCACTAAAAGTTGCACGTTTACTGGGTCCCTTATGGCACAAAGAGTCCGTGATAAGCAGTCCCTCTCGTATAGTTATGGCCATGATAATCTAGTAAAACCTCGTTGTCATACACTATATACAGAAGACCCGAGGAGTATATTGCTTCCATAAGCTCCGAAGTCTGCGAAGTTTGCAGTGTCCAACATCTTTACACTAACATAAAATGACTAAAGTGTGAAGCCATTGAATAGTGAAAAATACAATCTTGTTTTGCACGTGTCTTTCAAGCTGATGCCTAAGGTCTAGTGAAAATCAAGAGTCCTTTTCAACACTTTTTACTAAGGTTTCTGGCCCCACTATTATCCAATTTGATGTATAATGAGCCTTGCCAGCGGTTTCTAGACTGCAACATTACCTGCAGGCAGATAATTCTCTGTGCTGTAATCCAAAACTCTGTAATACATGTTCTTATAGAACCCACATTTTTCAATTAATGAAATGGCGTTATTACTATCTGTACATCACTGCTGAATATAATAATATTTCTTGCTTTTTTATTTCTAACCAGCAATTAGTCTTATTAAATATTGTAAAGAATTCTAAAATATAATAAGACATGTTCAACATGCAAGAAAATGTTTTTTACAAATCAATTAAGCCTAGATTTTTTTTTTCCATACATGTCCACTTTGGTATTCTGTATTTTGCTTTGTGCATTATTTTACATCAGCCTTTAGAACTGTCTTTTTGTCTTTCTAGGAGATTGGCGAGAATGTACATATTTACCTGATTGGAAAGGAGGAATCTCGCACCCATTCTATTGCAATCTCCTTGCACTGTGCACAGGATGATTCAATCAGCGTCAGTGGGCAGAACAGCTTGTGCCACCAGATTACAGCGGCTTGCAAACATGGTGCTGACCTGTATGTTGTGGGAGGCTCCATTCCCCGACGCATGTGGAAGTGTAACATGGAGACGATGGACTGGGAGCGATGCGCCCCTCTCCCAAGAGACCGTTTACAGCACACGCTTGTATCTGTTCCCAGCAAAGATTCCATTTACTCCCTAGGAGGAAAAACTCTACAGGACTCCTTATCCAATGTAATCATTTACTATCGAGTACAAGACAATGTTTGGACAGAAACAAGTCAGCTAGAGGTATCAATCTCTGGGGCGGCTGGTGTATACCTTAATGGTATTATATACCTGATGGGAGGAGAAGAGAATGACCTGGACTTTTTTACTAAACCCTCACGCCTTATCCAGTGTTTCGATACCAATACTGAGAAATGCCATGTGAAGCCATACTTGCTACCCTTTGCTGGACGCATGCATGCGGCTGTGCATAAGGACCTGATCTTTATCGTTGCAGAGGGTGACCAGCTGGTCTGTTACAACCCGCTACTGGACAGCTTCACCCGACTCTGCCTCCCTGAGGTCTGGAGCTCTAGACCGTCCCTCTGGAAAATCGCAAGCTGCAATGGCTGCCTATATGTGTTTCGAGACCACTACAAGAAAGGAGACGCCAACACCTTCAAGTTGAACCCAGCCACATCTGTCGTGACGGTAACCAGCGGTATCCGGTTCTTGCTCACCAACCTGCAGTTCTTACTGGCATGATAGTAACACACTCAGTATCTGAGCAGCATGAAATGTGAACTGTGCTTTTGCACACCTTCTCTTTCTAGAGGGTCAACCCCATCCACTCAGCTGCCAGAATGATGCAGAAACTGGGTAGATTGTATTCCAAAGAGTTGCAAGGGACCAACTACATAATGCGGTGGGCTTATTGTACCAGGCTTTGCTAGCAGGTAGCTATGTGTTCTTGTTTCCTAGTTACATTCTGCTAGGTTATGTCGAAGTTTATGATCAGTGTTTGTTCCATTCATAACCAAGCAAATGTATGTGGCTTTGTGGCCATTTTACAATTTGACTGTAGAAGTCCTAAATCTATATTGTAGAGTATTTCCCTATGATTTACATCTAGTTAGCCACTGGCATCTTTCAAAGAATTCACCACAAAACATAAGCAAGATGAAATGAATGTTAACATGTGGTGATTCCTTCTGCAACCTTTGTCTAGAAAGAGTAATATTATTTTTAAAAGAAAGAGTACGCAAATAATAGTTACAAGTTTGTAATTTATTTTAATTGCCCTGCATAAGCTTGCCATAAAAGAGCTCATACTCTCCGTTTTCATAACATTGGTTCAATCTTGGTACCATGTAAGTTAAAAATCATCATTATGGAACGATGTGTGGAAACCACACCAACATGCTCCTGAACCGACAGACTTTAGTCCACCAACATATTTAACCCCAAGTGGTTATCCGGCACCTGTGTCCTACAGAGCCAACATGGCGGTACCAGTTATGAGCAGGACTGAGACACAAACCCAGCCATATATGATGAGGGGATGTCTGTGTTTCTGTGACACTCTGATCATGTGCATCTCAGGAGTTCCAGCACATGGCTTCAAAGACTTGACCTTTCTGTCCAAGTTTATGTCTTGAAACTCTATAAAATATGTATTGCTATTGGCATGGGGAACTGTACTTTAAGGCTCAGGATGTGAAGTACAAAATATAATGTAGAGCAGTGCTTCTCAAACCATTCTTCAATCACTACCAGTGGTCCAGGGATTATGACTTTGCCCATTGGAATAAAACCTGGTAAACCCTGTACTATTTCTGGCTGTTGGTTTCTGGTCTGATCAGCACAGAGTTTTTCAAATTCTAATAAGAGGTATATCGTTTAATTTAAAAAGCTGCTTCAGTTGACTGTGTCTTTAATTTAATTACAATGAAGACATTTATAAAACAGTTATTTTGTTTTCTGGGCATATTTCAGCTGATTCATTGTGTACTAAAAATTCAGATTTAGAATCTTAAATTTTTATCCTCATCTTTGCCAGATTTTATTCACAAGTCCATCATGTGTCACTGTTTTCGTAAACATGTGGAGATTGAAGTTCAAATGAATCCATTGCAGTTGAGAATAGACAGTTACTGGAAGAATGTGTTGTCTTATTGACTAATCCAGGAATTGGGGAAAAACAGCCAAGGAAATTGCAGATTCTGGTCAAAAAAGATGAACTGGGAATGTTTCCCTAATCAGCAGTTTTTTAGCCTGAAATTTGAAGTTCCCTTGTCAATTCCCCAATTCACAGTTTATCAAATAAACCTGTAACTTTTTTTTTTTGTAGGTAATTTGTTTTCTTTAAGCAAGTGAAATGAGGAGCGCAATGCAGAATGTGTTGGTTTTATAGGACATTGATTGCTAGCAAATGCTTTATTATTAGAGCTGAAATAGCTTAATTATTAGTCTACGCTCGTGTTTTATTGTAAATCAGCGGTTCTTAATTTTGTCTCAGAAGAACTCAAATTGCATATATGGTATTAACAAAGCTATCAATTCTTCAGTTTTAAAATCAATTCAGTTACTTAATTCTCCAGTTGTAAAATAAGCAAAATAAATTCTGCAAAAGAACTTAAACAGCCACTTCTCACTTACAGGTGGTCTCTATTACTCTGGGAAACTATCTACTGTGAGTAGTTGCCTGGGCCTTGATGGATATGATGTTCTGTGTTCCAACCTGTTTAATGAAATAGCTGACTTAAATGAACTAGTATATCACAGATTGTCTCAATAGAAAACAGGACTTTATAAAAAAAAAAATATATATATATATACTACATGGCTGACTGCATGCACGTAGGAAGTCTGTTTAATAATAATAATATCCCTTTAAAAGGGATATCTGTCAATCTGAATACAGCTCTACCTTGCAAAAAGTGTCTGCTTGAAATCCGTTAAAAAGATCCTTATTAAAAATGCACTGTGTGCAAATGGATGATTACTTTCTTAACAGTTTTTGTGCTCGTCAAGCTACCTGAGATGTAAACATTAGAAGTAGGCACTATATAAAACGGAGGCCTCCCGCAAATAGAAAAACAACACTGCTACGTGATTTAATGTAGAGTTAAACTTGTCTTTCTCACTTTAAAATTTTATTAATTTATTCTGTAACTTTAATGTGGCTCTCACTTTTAGGAGTATTTGCATATTTTGCAAAGACCCTTAAAGGTGACATACCCACTCTGTGTGTGATGGTTGGAGGGTGAAGCTAAAGACACCCAACGCGGGTGCAACGATCTTTCATTTTTAGCTCCTTGTACTTCCTCCATGTCACTGCTGTGAAGTGACCAGAGGTAGCAAAGCCGCTTTAAGCCGTCTGTAACGATGCATGTCAGTGCATCACCATTATCGTTTATATATTGCAGCTCTACAATGGGGATATAAGAAAATTAAGGGGGCCCTGCTCAAATACGCATACACTCTAGGAAGATAGGGGGTATAAGAACACAAGAAGAAGAAAGTCGAAATTGGGGAGAGTTTTGTAGGTAGGGCACCTGGGTCTAGGTCAAATTTTGGAACCCCAAATAGTAGAGAGAGAGTAATATTTTAGCATATGTCTCATCATTTTCATGCAATAATTCTAATTGAATCATTATGTATATCATAGTTATCACTTGAACATATTACAGGTTTTTTTTGTGTAGTGTTGAGGTGGTCTTTATTTATTTTTTTTAATTATAAAGCGCAGACATAATAAAATGAGTAACGTACATGTAACTGAAACAAGTTTGGATAAAGATTTATCAGATGGAGAAGGGCTCTGCTTAAATAAATATTGTTAACAGAAAAGTTCCAAAAGTGGAACAATGGCCAAGGAAAAGCGTGGATTCAGCATTCAACTGCTTTCCTACTATTACCCCACGTTTATAGCTTTGTATCACTTTGCTTTTAGCAACAATGATGACACATTATAGGTGCCCCCTAAGCAACATAAACAGTACAGCTTGGTGAAGTGTTGCTTAGAGTGTTCCTTTAAGAATCTAAGGTATGAGTGTAACTTTGGCCTCCCAACTGTTGATGGACTAAACCTCTGTAGAGGTAACATCACATTACAGATAAATTATATATAATTGCGGCCAGAGCTGCTACCATAGCCATCATGCCAGGTTGGTGGGTGTTACACTAAAACACTTATTTGTAAGTGAGCATTTTGTATGTGATGCCATCTTTCCAATAGGAAACATTATGGACCTTTCATATTGTACAATCTACTTTTCTATGACCAAGGGCTCAAATATTAGTAGGCAAGTAAAAATCCGTGTAACATCATTCCTTTAAATGTATAATTTTTACAGCTATTTTTTTTTTTTAATGAATTTACTCCCAGTATATATATATTTATTGACAAGGGCTGTCATTGCATTCTAATGTATAGCTTTATCTTGTGGTTGTGCAGGAACTGCCATACCATCTGCAGTGTATTTTTTGGGTGGCCTGTGGTATTATTTACTGAGAAAAGATGGGTTTAATATATATATATATATATATATATATATATATATATATATTTTTTTTTTTCTTTTGACAGTTCGGTACTGTTATATAAATGTGTATCTGAAGGCATAATTAGAAGGTACTGGCTAAATGCCTTTTTTTCTGTGTTTTCTAGATTTATTTAAATTGCAACCCATTAATGCATGATGTCACTTACTGTTCTTCTGTACAAGTAACCATGTGCCTGTATGTGAGATCTGCCTTATCAGTACTAATCAAAACACAAAATCCAAACCAAATGTACCATTTATGTCTAGACTTCACACTACAGAGGACGCCCTATTTTTTTTTAAAGCATTTCACAGATAATGCATTAAAAAGTAATTCAAAGAAATCCGTGCAGGTGGCAGTGTTTAGTGGATCTAATTGCACCTACAAGGAGACCCCTCCTATACCTGGAAGAGACACTGCAACCAATAACATCTCATTTTAGTCTGTAGGGTCTCTGTCCCCCATGAGCAGTTCCAATCATCACTGAGGATAAGTTGAACTGCTCTGTAAGCTGGTAGCAGTCGTACCACAGCTAATATCAGTTAACCGATTAGTGAACTGAGCTACGTACACGGATCAACACAGTTGGTGTTCACTACATACATTTGCTCTCCTTTTTGGAAGATAAGCAAGTTTGGTCCAAGTGGTGTGAGGTGTACCCAAACAAAATTTATATTAGTTAGAGCAAGCCGAGGGTCCGGGCTGCCTGACTGACAGCTCTGAGGGGCAAACTTAAAGCTACCATCATTTTTACAAATTGCTGCAATTCTAAGCCACTCTCAGGATGGAGATATGCAAAGCTGTGATGTGAACCCTTTCAGTTTGTATACTCTGTTCCTCTCTATGCTTGTGTTGTCAGAAGGGACTACGTATTTTATTATGGTTTGCATTATTGTCTCAATGAAATGCTAAAGAATGGAGAACCTCTGCACTTTGTTACATCACCCAAACTATTGCAGGGAACTTGTAACCAACACCTTCAATGGATAGAATGTAAAAAAAGCAACGGACTTGCAATGAATTAAACTTAATTATAAAACGTTGGCTAAAATAGATTATTTGGAAGAATCCTCTCACTGCTCTACTAACAGATTAATTTTTTTTTTCGCCTAAATTTGCAGTTTGGTTTACTATGAATTGTTTAGTAAATTAAAATAAATGTTTTTCTTTGTGATATCGCAATCATTCATAAGCAAATTAGATGCTACCACCTAGAATGGGTGATAGGACTTACAGAGTGATGCAGCACTCAAACATTTTATTTTTATGTATATGGTTTGCAATACAATTTTTGGTACTGTTTTTTGGGGTTTTATTTTAACAAAAAAAAAAAAAAATACAAATTAGATTGCTATTTTTTAGTTCAAAATAGCTGAACTTCTAAACCTTTGCTACTGTGGCCTAAGTTTAAGTTCCCTTGTCAGGTGTATTTGGTTTAGTGAGTAAACCCCCAAGTATGAAAGCTGTTAAGAATAATTTACATCTCTACATTATTAAATGAGGAGGCAGGAGTGCACTGCATCATTAATTAATAGATAAATATATAACGGAAGGCTGAGCGCAGTGGAGAGATCAAATAATATAATCTTAATTTCCAGTGTACACTGCTACATTCTCATACAAGCATTTGCTGTTTGTGTTTTGTTTTTCTTATTCAATATACAATTAATAATTTTATGTGATGAACACATTTTGTCTAGTATTTTTGTCTGTGTGTGTGTGCTTCTAATAAAACTAAACCTGTAAATGTTTGACCGTTTTAATAGATATTGTTTGCAGAGTGAGATTAATCCTATTTACCTGCTGTTTTCTATTGAAGTGTGGTACTGGTTCATTTTTGCTCTTAAATTAAGACAAAGAAAAATGTAAAATGAGATAAGCACTAGATATTTACCTGTGGAGTCTTGTATACAGGGCTCAAAATATCCACTCCCCATCGGCGTGAGAAAATTTAGCCCTCGTGAGTGTGCAATGGACGAGTATGTTTTTATGCCCGATTAATAGCGTAGAAATGTCAAACTGTGTGTATAATTTGTGTCCCAGAATTGCTCTTTCTACGCAACCACATGAAAGATTTCTTAAGAGTAACCATTAATTTTAGAGCTCTAATATTAACCCCTTCACAGCATTACAAGTCTTCCTCTATAGTGGGATTTAACACCTTTAGGACGACATGGCATGTCCTAACATTTTGGTGTGAGCATGGTTAAATTCCTCAATACCCAGAGCTCCCCTCTGTCAGCTGGGCCATTTTTTTTTAGTAGCCCCAGACTAACAGATGCGCTGTATGCAGAGCTCCAAATGAGCACTGCTACAACCATTTAAATCTGACTTGACTGCAAAGCTGAGTATGAAGAGGGTTAAATCCTTGCTCACAACAGGGAGTCTCGGGTATCAATTGTAAGCTGGGGGTCACATTTAGTGATGAGCTGTATGCAGAGCTCAAAGTAAGCATTGTATATAGCCCTTTAAATACATTAAGAACAGGGCGGCTGAGCAGATTGTGCAAAGCAGCTGTGTTCCTGGGCTGGCAGGTGCTCAAGTGAGACCCCCGGGGTTTGGACTGACCTTGACAGGGTTTCCAAGCATGGCCCCATGCCAATTGTGATCATTGTAATTCTGACAAATATTACAGAGAAATGCCTGTAATGCTGAAAGAAGGCAGTAGATGGCAGCAACATACAACTTTTGCCACTCTACTGTTTTAACTCTAACTACTGATTTTAGTAAAGCATTTCCTTGGGGTTTGTGTAGGGTTAGTGCTAGTGTAAGGTTAATGTAGTGTTATGGTCAGTGTTAGGGTTAAAGCAGTCATAGTGTTATAGTTAGTGTAAGCTTAGGGTTGGTAGAGCATTAGGAGGATTGCTATTAGCAACCACAAATTTAGATCCTAGACATGAGGAATTAATTTACAATCAGGACTGATACGTGAATCTATTTTGGGCTCTTTTTATTTGTATAAAGATTATTATAAGCAAATATGTGAAAAAAAAACAAAAACCCATCTTTAACATTTTATTTACACAATGTTGTGTTAAGTATACATATAGGATGTTAAGAAAGCCCTTTCTGTCCTTTAAAAACCCCAATATGTAATATGTGTGGGAGAAAACATTAAATTATGGCTGAACAAACACAATGCAAATCATCGGTTTGGTTTCAGGACTTTGACAATTGTTATAATACCACATAATGGAAATGTTTTTGGTTTTTGTGACAAAACAAAATAACTTAATAAAATGTGTTACTCTTCTTTATTTTTTGTAACAAATAGTGTACTTGTGATTTATAGATTATGTATCTATATATGTGGATGTGTGTATTTGGGGTCTGTCTTTATTGTACCAGTGGTGAATTGATTTCCCTGCATCTCCCAAAAGATAAAACCAACAACAAAATTGAGCATATTAAGGGAAGCGTACGGCTGTTAACAATTAGCCGGGTACTTTAATCTTAGAATTCCTTATTTTAATAATTAATTAAAAATAATTTAACCGATCAAAATATTGCACTTTTGCTATGTATAACTTGAGATAACGTGACGTCTTGACAACAATCCCAAGACACAGCCAGGTTATGGAAGTGGGTGAACTCTTTGGATTAACCAGAGGTGAAAGATGAGGGGGCAGTTCTTGATAGACTTTCTTTCTATATTACCCTCCACTCTCTGGTGCTTTGACGTTAGCAACTGAATTGTAAAATCTTTCCAGAACTTGGTGTTGTGACTCTCTGATTATGATGTGTGGCCTGATACGTGCGATGAAGTCCTCCGCATAATCAGGTGTCCATTTGTGTCTCTGTGAAAAACAAAAATGAGCTGCAGGTAAACTGGCTGTTTGCAGTACTGGAACAAGTAAGACTATAATTCCACTAAAAATACAATTATTTTCTAATTAAACTCAATGTGTGTGATGTGCAATGGGGTAACGATCTCCAAAATGTATTACAAATGGGCAGTACAATTCCCAGTGCAAAAATATATTTCTCTTTTTTTGCAAAACAAAAACCTCTAATGAAAGTTAAAGTATACAACACAGCACATTTACTGACCTTTTATGTAACAAAAAAATATATAATATTAAAAATGTCTTTATCAAATAAAGCTTACTCTCTGTCAGTTATGTATGAAGATTGCCAGGTTTCTCAAGTTTGTAAATGTACACACTGCTGATAAAAGTAATATTTGGAAATAGATACTTGAATATTGTTGTTTTCATGCGTTGTCATTTTTTTCCCCTCCAGATTTTCACAAATTTAATGGGTTAGTGGAGAATTTGAAATGTAGTCGTCCGTTCAGTAGCAGAATTCAACATATAATTGCTCTAAATGCATTGAAAGCTGGAGTCATTGTTCCAGTTCTTTGCTTTCAGACATTTAAATAGTTCTATCTATTAGATAACTTTAGAGGCAAATGTGATCAAGTTTGGACCTTGTTGGCACCCCTACAACCTAGAAACTGGACTTTTACTCATTCCAGTAGTACTTAAAGACAGATCTCCGAAAGCAAGTAATTCAAGGGTACCCTAGCAACATAACCACTACATGCTCGCTCTCTAAACTCTGTCTACAACTTGTGTCAAACTGTTTAGCACTGGTAGGGCTCTCCTCCGCACCCAGAAATCACTTGCTTATCATGCCTTAATTAAAGGACCACTATAGGCACCCAGACCACTTCAGCTCAATGAAGTGTTCTGGGTCCCAGGTCCATCTAGGGTTAACCCTGCCTGCTGTAAACCTAGCAGTTTCAGATAAACTGCTATGTTTACATATGGGTTAATCCAGCCTCTAGTGGCTGTCTCATTGACAGCCGCTAGAGGCGCTTCCGCGCTTCTCACTGTGATTTTCACAGTGAGAAGACGCCAGCGTCCATATGACGCGCATACGCATTCAGCCGAAGAGGGAGGAGAGTCCCCAGCGGTGAGGGAGCCAGGCGCTGGAGAAAGGTAAGTCTTGAACCCCTTCCTCCCCTTAGAGCCCAGCAGGAGTGGGACCCTGAGGGTGGGGGGGTACGGACCTAAAAACCATATAATGCCAGGAAAACAAGTTTGTTTTCCTAGCACTATAGTGGTCCTTTCAGAGCAGAGCTTTGTCAGAGTATATAAAGGAATATTTGTTTTAGGTAAGAGTTAAACACACAGGGTTATTTACTAACGTGATAACTGTCTGGAATTCAAAGTTAATTCCAAATTGGAAGCATAGGTGACGTGGAGAATCTTTTTTTCCATGTTGGCTATTTTGGCCTTAAATTTTAAAAAAAAATTGCATTCCCAACAATTCTCGTTTTGGTAAATACCATCTAAAATATGGAGCTATTCACTAAACCAGGAATTTTGTTTAAGTAACACTGCAAATTTTAGACCACAATAAGTGAGCTAGAAACCTGGTAGACTACAATAAAATGCCTCTTTTGGTTGTTATCTTGTCAATTATCTCCATTTCCATTGCCTACTTAAACAAAAAGTAACATGTGGATAATGGCAAGCTTGGGACAGAACTGTGAAAAATCCTAGAGCAATTTATGCTGCAAACTGACAAAAGAAGTGTAATTAACTTTCCCGGGTAATTTGGAGCTATTCAATGTGGTGCCTAAGCACACTCACAATTACTTGTTAATGACCGGTATTCTAAAAAAGGAAGAGAACAAAATTCAGACCCTGACAACAAAATGTCTCCATCCAGACAGACCATATTTTCAAGTATTGCTTAGAAGGTTCATGAATAGCAGCTGTCAGCCTTTCCAATCTAATCAGATACCATATTGTAACATTGATATGACTGTGCCTTTTATTTTTAAAATAACAAACCCGTAGGGATGTCTTTAGTTCTCCCAACCAGCACAGAATGATGTGACTCAGCCATGCATCCTCCACCCACTGAGCCCTAGTGTGACGTGTGATCAGCGTGCTGGATAATTAGAGCATTGGTTAATGTGGTCTGCGTCAGGTTAAAACACAGACAGAACACTTGTTCAGTAAAAAAAAAAAGCTAAAATGGAGAAGGAAGATTTTATAATCTCTCAAACTGGTGTATATGAAACAGGGAGACATGATTCTAGGTTCCTTGACCAATTTCTGGGTGGCTATGACACTTTGCATTTGTCAAATCCTAATAAGTCTGAGGATAAAATGGCATAAGTGCTACTTGAGATACATGGTTGAATGCTCATCAATCCCTGCCCCTAAAAGTATCAGTGTTCAGCAAACGTAATCTGACGGGCATCTGCAAAGATACATTTGACAATTTTACAGCTCTAATGTTAGAACGTAATTTTATCTTCTGTTACAAAATCTCACCTCTATTAAATAGGCTGCTACCATTGTAGCACTGCGAGATCGGCCTGCCTTACAGTGGATATAAACGCTGTTCCCATCATGCTGGTGCTTGTGAAGAAATGCCACCCCTCTCTGTAAGTTCTCCAATGTCGGGACCCCAGTGAAGTCCACTGTGCTGAGTCGCAGTTGTTCTACTCCCAAAGCTTGCCACTGCTGTGAAATGAGAAATAGTTACATAGTTACATAGTTGAAAAGAGACTTGCATCCATCAGGTTCAGCCTTCCTCACATATGTTTTTGCTGTTGCTCCAAAAGAAGGCAAAAAAACCCAGTTTGAAGCGTTTCCAATTTTGCCACAAACTAGGAAAAAAATCCGTCTTGACCCCAAAATAGCAGTCAGATATCTCCTTGGATCAAGCAGCTATTACCCCACTAATTAGAAATTATATCCCTGTATGTTATGTTTTTGCAAGTATTTATCCAATTGCAGTTTAACCCCTTAAGGACACAGAAGCTTGTCTTACGCTTAATGACACAAGCAATTTTTGCATTTTCTGTTTACGTTCAACTGCAATTTGCATCTCTCTTGTTTATTGCACCGACACATATTATATACTATTTTTTAAAGGACATAAAGGGCTTTAATTTGATGTAACACACACATATATATATATATCTATATAGAGATATATATATATATATATATATATATATATACACACACACACACACACACACACACATTTATTATAAAAAAAATACAGAAAATGCAAAAAAATAAATGTGTTTTTTACAGTTTTTGCAATAATAATGTGTGCACAATTAGTGCAGGTTAAGGAAAGTAATTAAAAATAAATTCATTTAGTTGTTCTGATTTACAGAATATATAATGTGTCTGGGATTTTATTTTATTTTTTTGGTAGTTACAGGTCACAAAGCACAAGGAGTAAAATAAACTTTTAATGTGGAGCGATTTTAGAATTTGGTATGTTTGTCTTGTAAGCTTAATAGCCATAAAAGAAAACAAAATTGCCCCACAAAAGTATATATTTATATAAAGTAGACATCACAGGCTATTTACCTAAGGTTGTTTTGACACTTTCTAAGTAGCCATTTCACTGCCAATCTCTGCTAAATATTGGAGTAAAATTTTTTTTTTTTTTTTTTTGGCACACAAACTTAGAACAAAGAACTTCCCATGTGTATTTTGTAAAGTTGGTGTGTGCTATTCCTGCACAAAACTTTATTTTGTGTTCAGCTACATCTGCTGAGTACAACAATACCCCCATTGTATGTCTATGACACTATTTCGTGAAGCTACAGTGCCATGTAGGAGACCTGTCCTTTTCGGTATTTACAGTAGAATTTAGAGACAGATTTAATTGGCCTATGCTTCAATTTGGGGAATTATAGCAGTTTGACTGTTCAAAAAAAAAAAACCCCACAAAGGCCTACCATTTGTAAAAGTAGACACTCCAGGGTATCTCATATGGTACATATTGTGCCTTAATATGCCCCCATTTTTTCAGCAATATATGGCAAAGTATGTGGTAAAAAATAATTTGGGGCATTTTTTACATACGGATTGCATTTTTGCTGGGCATTTTGTATATTTCATATGTGCCACTAAGTTCAAACCCCCCAAATTATGCTCAGCTAAGTCTTCTGAGTAAAACAATATGCCCAATGTATAACCTAGACACTATTTTGTGAAGTTACACTGCTGTAAAAGAGACGTGACAAGTTAAAGTTTTTAAGTATGAATTTTCATGGAGTGTTTTGATGCGTCCGTGTCCACCTTTGGAGCACTTGAGCAGGCTACATATTGCAACTACACCATAAAGGCATACAATTTCTTAAAGAACACATCCCAGGGTTTTTCAAAAAGCATAATTTGAACCTTAGCGTGAGATAAATTTTCCGCTAGCTTGTACCAAGTGTAGTGGTAATAAGCGTTTTTTTCTGCCTTTTTGACACCCACAGTGAGTTTGTACAGTATATTTTGCAAATCGTATGTGTGCTACGACTGTATAATACTTCATATGTTGCTCAGCTATGTCGGCTGAGTACAGCAATACCCCCCTTTGTACCTTTGCCAGGTATATGTGGACATCGGAGGGGCACATTTGGGACATAGCCATTCCAGTTTTTTTCAAACTTTATATTTTTACGCTGTGCCCATGTCCCATTTTAGAGTATTTTACCAGGTTATATAATCCAAATACACCATAAAGGCATACCATTTCTTAAAGAAGACATCGCAGGGTATTTCAAAAGGCATATTTTGAACCTTAGCGTGGGATCATTTTTCCGCTAGCTTGTACCAAGTGTAGTGGTAATGAGCGTTTTTAAATTTATTTTTTAACTTTTAAAACTAGTTTTTAGGAAGGCGGGGCCTGACCGCCATGCTGACCAGTCGCAGACCGGAGAGGCTCCTGACACACTTGGTCCCCTGTGGCATAAAACTCAAGCATTAAAGCAATCTGGGTGACCAAAATGTATCCAGACAGAAGCCGGAGCCACCACGGCCTAACACCAAGCCTACCTGGAGTTATGCACCACGCGCCTGACCACCAAAATGGCGGCATTACAACCTGCACAAGACAACACAACCACGCCTGCCTGCGGACAGAAACAGTCAGCTGAACATCGCCCCTACCTAACAAGCCCGGACACGATACTGCCTTCAGGTCGCATGGAGAGTGGGCTAGGGCCGGAGCTGGAGAGCAGAGACGGCGAAAGGAGCCCACGGAAGTCTAATCCATTCAGAATCCCTGAGGTCGGGTCTGGAGAAAGGCTGATTGAAGAGGCTAGTTACCCACATTTCGAAACCCTCATGCAAGGTCCCTCCTGCCTCATCACCCACTGGGGATGGCTGATCCCAACCTCAGACAAAGCACCATAAAACAGACTGACACTGCAACACTCTACAGACTGTGGCATGCATATGGACAGGCCTGGCAACGGAGGTTTCACTTACTGATATTTACTACAGCATATTATATCGCAATATCAATTAGGCTTTTCCCTAACTGCTAGACTAACTACTAGTCTATGTCATATATAAGCGACCTCATATTGAATATATGTCCATCTATGTCTTAGATTACCTATCCTCTGGCACGCTGTGTGGGGCTCCTCGTGGCATTGCCCAGTTTGACTCATATAATCATAGTTAGCAAGCAGCATATGGTGGTATACTCGGTAAAAAGTGCAGCAATCCTAACATGTACAATGCTATTACTTATGACACCTTATACTGCAACCCAATAACATGTTTATGTTAACTCATGTACTGAATAATGCACTACCAAAATAAAGAAATAAAAAAAAAAAAATTGTTTTGAAACTTTTGTTTAGCTTATTAATTTTTTAAACTTTCTTATACTTTTTTTTTTTACAGATTGAACATTTTTATAAGCTTTTTTTTACCGTTAACCCCTAACCAACAGTAAATTCCCCACTTTCCCATAACTCCCACCCACCCCAGCTAGCAAAATATATAATTATAAAATATTTAAATTAATTAAATAAATTGAACCCCTGAGGGTTAAAAAATAAATAAAAATTAATCCTCAGGCGTTAAAAAAAAAAATGAGATCACAGTATAATACTGTGATCTGTATTTTGATCACTGTAAGCAGTAATCGACTGGCAGGGAAGGGGTTCATTTTCATTTGGACTGGATAAAGGGTTTTTTTTTTTTTTTTTACTTAAACGTTATTAAAACTTTTTTTAACACTTTTTAAAGCTTATTTTAAAACTTTTTTTTTTTAAAGTTAACCCCTAGTTAGCCTAACACCAAATCCCCCAATTCCCCACTAACTTCCACCCACCCCAGCTAGATAAATATATGATTTTAAAATATTTAACTTAATTAATAAAATAAATTTAACCCCTGAGGGTTAAAAAAAAAAAAAAGAAAAAAAAGAATTAACCCTCAGGGGTTAAAAAAAAAATGAAAAAAAAAAATAAAAAATCACATGACAGTAAAATGTATTCCCTGCCAATTGATCACTCTAAGTAATCAATTGGCAGGGAAGGGGTTAATTTTTAATTAAAATGGGTAAGGGAGTTGGGATATTGATTAAACTTTATTTTATTTTTTTTAACAGGGAGATGATCAGCTCTGATCCGTCTTCCTGCACTTCACAGCGAACTCTGAAGTGCAGGTAGGTGGTAGGTGAGTACATGCAGCACATGTGCTCGCGATCTGGGGTTAATTTTAACTCGTGACGGACCTGGTCCATCACTCGTCGTTAAGGGTCTCCCCTGAGTGACGGACCAGGTCCGTCACTCATCACGAAGGGGTTAAACATCTGTATGGACTCTGATAAAACCACCTCTTCAGGCAGAGAATTCCATATCTTTATTGCTCTTACTGTAAAAAAAAACAAACAAAAAAAAAAAAAAAACCTTTTCTTTGCTTTAGATTAAATCTCCTTTCTTCCAGCCCAAATGTGTGACCTCGTGTCCTATGTATATCCCTGTTTATGAATAGATTTCCAGATAATGGTTTGTACTGGCACCGAATATATTTGTATAAAGTTATCATACCCCCTCTCACTAAAATGCTCCATTCCTTTTATCAATTTTGTAGCCCGTCTCTGCACTTTTTCTAGTGCCATGATATCTTTCTTTAGAACAGGCGCCCAAAATTGCACAGCATATTCAAGGTGTGGTCTTACCAGCGATTTATAAAGAGGCAAAATTATATTTTCATCCCGAGAATTTATTCCCCTATTTATACAAGACAAAATCGTACCGGCCTTAGCAACTGCAGATTGACATTGCATATTGCTGCCTAATTTGTTATCTATAACAATTCCCAAACCCTTCTCGTGTGTGATTATCCCTAATTCACTACCATTTAGTGTGTAAGTTGCTTGTGCATTCTTTACCCCAAAGTGCATAACTTTGCATTTCTCTATGTTAAATTTAATCTGCCATTTTAGTGCCCAGTCCCCCAATCTATCCAAATCCCTCTGCAGCAAAGCAATATCCTGCTCACATTTTATTACTTTACAAAGTTTTGTGTCATCTGCAAACACTGATACATGGCTTTCAATGCCTATTTCAAGATCATTTATAAATATGTTAAATAGAAGTGTTCCAAAAGTGTGTGCACTTCCTGTTAGTCCGGCCGGGTACAGGAAACAAAAGCTACCTGTACCCGCCGACTATACAGGGCTCGGCCACGCTACAGCAAAGGTTTTTTTTTTGGGGTGGGGGTGCCAAGCACAGGATCTGCCCCGGGTGCCAAATGCTCTAGGTACGCCCCTGCGTGGAATCAAACTATAAGGACTTTCAACTTCTAGACTACATAACATCGCCTGGCTTTCTCAAGTGATAAAAAGTTCTACCACGGGGCGTGGCTTGGACGCCGATCGGAATGGCGGCGTGAACCAGAAGCTCCCTGCAGGCTCTGCACTATTACCCGCCTCACTAGCCCCACACACCGCAAAATGGGCAAAACAAACCGGCAACAGCAAGCGGCAGCGACCGCCAACACTCCGAGGGGGTCCCAGACACCGGGCATGAGACAATACCTCCTGACCCAGGCGGATCACGTCTCTCAGGCCTCTAGTGACTCGGAGGCCTCGGGCCTGGCCCGCCCGGCCTCACCAGGCAGCAGACATCACGAACAGGTACATCTTACACCTGACCTACCCCCATCCCAGCTGGACTGGGCATCCTTATTGAGCAACCTACCCACGAAAGCTGACCTTAAAGAGGCAAATGCCGCCCTTCACAAGTCCATAACAGGGGAACTCCATGCCTTAAGGGAGGACATGCAGGGGCTACACCATAAGCTAGCATTGTTGGAGGCAGACTGTGACCACGTGACATCAGCACAAAACGCCACCGCAAACGTAATACAGCAGCAGACGATACAACTGCGCCAAATGGCCCTCCACATGGAAGACCTCGATAACAGGGGGAGGCGGCAGAATATCAGAATTGGATGTGCAGCCCTGCACCATGATAGAAATGTCAACTACTTGTTATCACCTGTTGTGAATTTAATCTAAATGTTATTGTTACGGTTTATGCCTTACTACAGTACCTTGAACAGACATGCTGTGCAACACACACGCCGGCTCTCGAGCCAACACACCCCGAGGCGGGGAAGACCATCACATTCCATTGAGGTAGCATCCGGGAACCAAAAAGGGGCGACATGGGACCCGACTTGCCGCACGGAAGACCGACACCGATACACCCTACCACTGCCCAGTAGGAGAGACGTCACTCAGACAGTGAGTCACTCACGGGAGCCACTGGTGGCACCGTGGATTGAAACTCCCCGACGTCTACACCTAACGGTCCCGAGACCGGAACACACCCACTGGAGATCACAGGGAATCTCCACGAATCCCACGATACCTTACCCCTCTCTCTACCCCACCTTAAACCCTGACACCTTGTCCTCAAACTGACCACGACAAACAGGCCATACCAGGTACACACACACAGCAGGGACTTGGACAACGACACCCATACAGCACCAACCAACAGCCGACTGACCAGACGACATGCCACTGACTCCCGCCCCGCTGCATATTCTCACGATCAATGCCAAAGGCCTGAACAAACCAGAGAAGAGATCAGGAGCACCGAGAGACTTTCATAAACAAAGGGCCTCGATAGTCATGTTGCAGGAAACACACTTTCAGAAAGGGGCCAGACCCAAACTAACAAACCAACACTACACACAAGGATACTACAGTGACTACCACGGGGGGAAAGCTAGGGGAGCATTACTTTTCCATAAGAGGGTGCCGTTCCAGGAGGGGGGCTGCTTGTCGGACGATGAAGGCAGGTACCTATTCCTCAAGGGGGAAATAGCAGGCCATCAGTACACGTTCGCAACCATATACGCCCCAAACACACGACACTACCGCTTCCTCAAACAAACACTCCACAAGCTCCAGGCGTTCAAAGAAGGGACTCTCATACTGGGGGGTGACTTTAATGTCGCATTAGAACCGTCATGGGACACCTCAACGGGCACCTCACATATCCCCAACCAACAACTGCAAGGCATCAAATCCCTACTCCGGGACCACCGACTGGTCGACTGCTGGAGGGCCCACCACCCAGACGCCCGAGACTTCACTTTCTATTCCCATCCGCACAACTCATACTCCCGCATCGACCACATATACACCTCACACTACGACCTTTCATTGTTAACTGACGTCGGGATCGGAACAGCCACATGGTCGGACCATGCCCCTGTCTCCCTCAAAATAAAGTCACCACTATTTCGCCCCACATCTCCAAAATGGAGACACAATGAATACCTACTCTCCCACCCGGGAGTCACGACCCTTATAGGCGATAAAATCAGAGAGTACCTTGCCACCAATACGACGGAGCAGACATCGCCGACGATACGCTGGGAGGCACACAAAAGTGTGATAAGAGGTCACTATATCCAACAGGGGGCAATACTAAAAAAACAAACCGAAGCTCGACTGACCGTCCTACTAGACGACATACACAAAACGGACGAACAAAACAAACGCGACCCAGACCACACACACCAGACCCGACTCCTACAACTGAGGAGGGACCTAGCGACCATACTGCATTCCAAACACCACAGGGAGGCACTTAGAAATAAGGCCTTCTTTACCCTACATGGGAACAAGAGTGGTAAGCTCCTCGCTACGATGCTGAGGAAACAGAGACAGCACACATACATCGACAAGATCAGAGACAAACAGGGGTCCCTACACCGTCTCCCGACTGATATCATGAGAGCGATCCGTACATACTACACTGAGCTATACGAACTCCCACAACCGACAACCGAACTGGCTAAGGCACACCTTCGCCGCTCGATTCAGGACTACCTGACTAAATACCCGATACCGACCCTAGACGCAGAAGTCGCTGACCTGGTTGACAAACCCATAACCGTTGAGGAATTAGCGCGAGCGGTCAAACTTACTAAACCGGGCAAAAGCCCGGGGCCGGATGGCTTACCGGTAAAATACTATAAGACTTACGCCGAGGATCTTTACCCACCCATGGTGGAAGCATTTAACGTGATACGAGAAGGAGACCACATCCCTACCCAAGCCCTAACAGCCCATATCACCATCATACCCAAGGACGGCAAAGACAGAGAGCATTGCGGGAATTACAGACCAATATCGCTAATCAATTGCGACATTAAGCTACTAGCCAAGATCCTGGCGGTGCGCCTCACCAAACATATCCCATCTCTGGTCCACCCTGACCAGGTGGGATTTGTGACAGGACGCGAGGCGCGCGACAACACCATCAGAGCGCTCACACTTATGCACGGAGGTGGGGGCACGGACGGAGGCCTCCTCTTGTTGTCCACGGACGCAGAGAAGGCCTTCGATAGAGTGAGCTGGGACTACCTCTTCGAGACGCTATCCCACATGGGGCTGGGTCCCCACACCCGATGCTGGATAGAGGCGCTATACCGAGCACCGACGGCCCAGGTGTTAGTTAACGGGGCGCTGACTGAGACCTTTACCATACACAATGGCACTCGACAGGGGTGCCCCCTCTGGCCGCTTCTGTTCGCTCTCGCCCTGGAACCATTCCTCACACACATCCGCCACAACCCAAACATAACGGGCCGGACGACAGGCCAAATACACCACAAGGTAGCGGCGTACGCGGATGACCTACTTTTTGTGGTGACCAACCCCGAGATCACCCTTCCAAACATCCAGAAAGACCTGCGGACATTTGGCGATATATCTAACCTTACAATTAACTACGGCAAATCCTACATCCTTAATGTTAGCGTCCCCGCCACACGCGCAGACCCTCTATGACGCAGCTTCCCCTTTCAATGGGCCGAACATAAAATTAGGTACTTAGGTATATGGCTGACCAGGCAGAGCAGAGACCTGTATAGGGACAACTTCGCCACTATACTGCACACGTTCCAACGAGACTTGAGGGAATGGTCCTACCTGCCTCTTATACCTCTTCCAGGCCATCCCCACTGTCATACCGGGCCCCTTCTTTAACACACTCAGAAAAGAAATGATAAAATACGTATGGAACGGGGGGAGGCCCAGAGTGAAATTTTCCACACTGACACGTCCTAAAGACAAAGGGGGACTAGCCCTCCCAGACTTCCACCAGTACTACGTGGCCACACACCTGCAGAGTGGTCTAAAGACGGAGTTCACAAACTATGGAAGACGGTGGAAGAGGCAGACCGATCTCGGGCCTTTCCTGGGGCCGAGACACAATCGATAGAGGTGACATGTCCATATACACGAGACACACCATGAGAGTTTGGAGGAAGGCCACAAAGAAGGGGAATATGGCACCGTACCCCTCCCCCCTCCTGCCCCTGACACACAACGAGGACTTCCCGCCGGGTCTGGACCCTGGAGTCCTCAAACACATCCTCCCAGACAGATCCCCACGCCTACACCACTTCCTCCAAGGTGGGAAATGTAAAACACTAACGGACTTGATGGGAGAGACGCCCCCGACCTTTATGCACTGCTTCCGACATGCCCAACTGACCAATTACGTCCACTCCCTGCCGCAGGGACCAGCACTGGCCAGAGACCAGACCACGATAGAAGTGGTCAGCTCACACCCAGACCCGCTCCCACACGGAGTGTCCTTCTTATATTCCATGCTCCAATCAGAAACCCCGTCCGAGACACCACTCTTCATGGGAAAATGGGAGACAGCCCTTGGTAACACGCTAACAGAAGCAGAATGGGAAACCATCTGCTACCTTACACACCACTGTTCCACTCACAGCAAAACACAGGAAACGGCCTACAAGCTTCTAACACATTGGTATAGGACACCACATCTCCTTCACCACGTAAACCCAGACCACTCCAGACTCTGCTGGAGATGTGAACGAGAGGTGGGCACCACAAAACACATCTGGTGGGATTGCGCGTTGATCCAACCATACTGGAAGAGGATACACAAAATGCTAGAGAAGTTCGCGGACGCGCCCCCCCCCCTGGAACCGGCAGCGATGCTCCTACACCACACAACAGTTCCCCGCTCCAAATACAAAAAATCCATGACCATTAGAATACTTAACGTGGCCAAACGAGTGCTCCCCCAATTCTGGAAACAAACAGTTACACCCCCACTTTCGACCTGGTTTAGCCAAATGGAAGAACTAAGGTCGATAGAGAAACTGACCATGACGGCCAACACTACACCCACTACCTACATGAGCATCTGGACGCACTGGATTCTAGAGATGGCAAAAGAAGAGTTCCAATTAGAACTCAGGCCTAACACTAACGGATACCACGACACAGACAGATAGCACTCAGAACACACACCCCAGACGACGCTAGACGGCCGACAGACGAACTGAACGGAACTACCCCCCCCCCTTTTTCCTTTCTTCCCACCCCGACGCATTCCCCCCCCCTCCCTACTCCCTTCGAAATACCCGAGCATCATCATTGACTGAATCATCCCCACCGCACCCATAGCGACAAGGGAAACCATAATTAGGAACGATCAACAAACACGAGCTGGTACATACGTCCAGACCAGCCCGGGACGTCACCCCAAAGCCAAAACATGCGAACACCTGAGGTAACCCTGGACAGGCCCGGCAATGACACGGCTAATGCAGTATCCACACACCCAATGTAAGAGTACCCTCTACCCGCAATACCATCATACCCCTGGTTAAACACGGGAAACACCGATAGTAATAACGGGGGAAAACACAAGCCCACCACGGACGATGCCACATAGCTAAGAACACAGGGCCCTGTGAGACGCCCGTTGACAGGGGCCATAGGGGTAGCCTACAAACACTGACACCCAATCAAGGACTGATTAATCCGGTTCAAGGACGATTACAAGGCATAATGTTCACCCAGTTCATGAAAACGTTATTTAACTTATATTCACAAACAAATGTAAATACCAGAAAATGGGGACCTGCGAGTCCTTCTGCGATGGGGCCTGCGAGCCTAACTTGTTACCTTTTATAATAGCATGCAATGGAGACCTGCGCGTCTCACCGAACATTAATATATGCAAAATGAATAAAAATTATATTCACAAAAAAGAAGTGGTCCAAAAACCCTGAGGGACACCACTTACCACTTTTGTCCAGCCTGAAAATATTCAATTAATTACAACTCGTTGTACTCTATCCTTAAGCCAATGTTCTACCCAAGAAAAAGAATATGCATCTAGACCAATTTCTTTTAGTTTGAAGACTAACCTTTTGTGAGGAACCGTATCAAATGCCTTGGCAAAATCCAAGTAGATCACATCCACTGCAACACCCTGATCTATACTTCTACCTACTTCTTCGTAGAATGCAATTAGGTTAGTTTGACATGACCTATGTTTCATAAAACCATGCTGATTATTGCTAACACAGTTCTTCCCAATGAATTCCTGAATATTATCACTTAATAGCCCTTCAAATATTTTCCCAGTCACAGAAATTAACCTCACAGGTCTATAATGAAATGACATTAAAACCAAACTATGGAGGTCACTTTTATCAGCCACTGATGAAATTCTAATACAGTAACCATGTGACATATGTACCTCCTGCAGCTGCTAAACTAAACCTCCCATGATGCAAAGGGAGGATATGACTCACACAGTATCATAGTGAATGGTCTCGCTCAACAACTGGTGGAGAGGCGCCTTTTGGATAGATCAGCTTAGGAAAATAAACAAAAAATACCCATAAAATGCACGAATGCTGCAGTTGTTCAACATTCACAACATTCCTATGTGTTTTCACATGTTTGTTATATCTGTGTTAAAGGAACACTTCACACCATTAAAGCACTTCAGCATGCTTTGGGCATTTATTGGAGGCCTATTTTCTAAACCAGCACTTTTATAAATCAGCTTAGTCACGCCTTCCAGCTGTCAATAAGACAGCGAGAGCATGGCCTACTTCGCTAACTTTAAAGCGACACTATGGACCTCTAAAGCACTTTAGCTTGGTGAAAAACTTTGTGTGAAGAGTGTGTCCTATTTTTTTCATTTTGCAAAAAGTGCAGATTTCAATAGAAATGGACACATTTATGAATTAATCTGGTTACACCCCCTGGCTGTCAATCAGAAAACACCTGTCTTGAAAAGACTTCTCATTGAGCTGCATTGGGAAGTCTGCGATTGGACAGCCACAGAAAGTCTGGGCGGGATTAGAAGGGGAGGGGTTGCAAAGGCTGCAGACAAGAAAACTGTAGGTTTTGCAAGCTGATTTTAGATATAACACCGATAAAAAATAATAATTTATAATTAAATGCATGAATGTTTTCATTTGGGGAATATCTATTAAAACTGTGATTTTTTTTAATTTATTTTGCATTTGGACAGTGGTGTGTCCCTTTAAATGTAGCTCAGAGCACACTGGGTTCAATGCTCCTCTATGAGAAGCATTTGTATTGGTGTATGTCACCAATCTTTCTGTAAGACAAGCATTGGATTGGAAGGGGATCATCCAGTTAGTACTGAATTGGACAGAGATCATCGGGATTGATAAACTCACTGTAGGAAGCTCTAAAAAGACATTGGCAAATAAAACTGGAACAGATAAACTTTGGGCTAAAAAAGGCCTACCCTCCTAAATATGATCATTTAATTAAAACAGAAATTTACGTTTTGCTTCTTTCCTTTTATTCTAAATCATATCAGAGAAACAAACAAAAACAAATTATAAACTGTTTAGTTTAAAGGATTACACAGATAAATGAAACCACTGCGGCATTGCAATCAATGTTGTTTTGGTGCCGATCGTGTTTCTTTAAGCAAGTAAACCAATATATGAGTCTTGGAAATGAAAAGCCCCCAATGAATTAAAGAAAAAACTGGAACAGAAAGGGAGAAAATAAAACACAGCCTACAGACTATGAACCAAGCACGTTCAATTACATTTACATGTCAGTTCCATTACATGGACCCTAAGGACACGCAGAACTCTATGTTTTATTCACTCACCTCAGCAGAGTTGCAGAGTAGCTTAGTCTCATATTCTTCATTCATAGTTATGACTCCACGGACATTTTCGTCATTAACCAACTGGAAAAAAAAACATGAAAGATGTATCATTTAAAGGGTCACTATAGTCACCAAACAACTTTAGATTAATGAAGCAGTTTTGGTGTATAGATCATGCCCCTGCAGTCTCACTGCTCAGTTTTCTGCCATTTAAGAGTTAAATCACTTTGTTTATACAGCCCTGGTCACACCTCCGCATATGACTTATAGAGCCTTCCTAAACACTTCCTGTAAAGAGTCATCTAATGTTTACACTTCCTTTATTGCAAATGATATTGAATTCAGAATTTGTTATCTTCTGCTCCGTTAATAGCTTGCTAGACCCAGCAGGAGCCTCCTGTATGTAACTCAAGTTCAATTTACAGAGTAGGAGATTAAAAACATTTAAAATAAGTTACATGTGATTGAAAATGGCACCATTTTGTTTTTATGCAGGCTGTGTCAGTCACAGTCAGAGGAGGTGTGACTAGGGCTGCATAAACAGAAACAAACGTGATTCAACTCCTAAATGGCTGTGAAACTTCAGAGGCTGGATCTATACGGCCAAACTGCTTAATTAAGCTAAAGTTGTTTTAGTGACTGTAGAGTATCCAAGACTTTTTATAATTTGGGTTGCTTAACCTGTTCAATAGTAGCAGAGGGGATATAAACCCACCAGTAACTGTTGCCATGGCATATTACCAGTAAAGGAAAATATTCCTTTAGATTGCCAAATCTTCATTCAATCTATAGATATAAGAGATCTATGGCAATAAACCTCAGCACAGAATGCACCTCTCATGGCTGAATATATTTATTACCTGTTATGTATTAAAGGACAACTATAGTGCCAGGAAAACGAGTGTTTTCAAACTCAAACTTGTTTTCTTGGCACTATATAGTCCATAGGTCCCTTTCCTATGGACGTTCTGCGTGCTCAATTCGATTTTTTGCATGAAGACAACCACTAGAGGCTGAATTAACCCTGCAATGTAAACATAGCAGTTTCTCTGAAACTGCTATGTTTACACCTGAAGGGTTAAAACCTGGGGGACCTAGCATCCAGACCACTTCATTGAGCTGAAGTGGCCTGGGTGACTTTAGTGGTCCTTTTAATTTATATGTGTGTGTATAGATAGTTTGTATATTGTAATTGTTTGTAATATTGTACCCTATTGTAACAATGCAATGTTTTGTGGACAAAGACCCAGGACATACTTGAAAACGAGAGAAATCTCAATGTATCCTTCCTGGTAAAATATTTTATAAATAAATAAATCTGTTTGTCCCTTACAGTATAAAAAAAAAAGAAAAGATATAACTCCCCTCCCCCCCCCAAAAAACCAAACAACTATTAATTGTGCTAATTTTTAGGAGTATAAACTAGTCTTTATAAATATTTTTAGCTGGATCAGTAGAGCCTTATTGGAAGCTGTGTTTACAATCATTGCCACATTGTGTGTTTGGAACAAGTTTCGGGAATTGTTATTTCAGCTATTTAAACCTATGATCCTGTTATTAGAAAAAGGGGGAGTACAAGAGCATTTTAAAGTGCATTTCATGTTCAGATATAAATGGAGATAATAATAATAATTTCATATTTCAGGCCAAACTGGAAACAGAACAGACTTGGAGAATGTTTCCGGTGCGGCTACTTTGGCCTGCGACCTGCCTTCCCCGTACAAGTGCAGGCCAGGCGTACATGACCATGAAGGGGGCAGATCACGTGACCCGGTGCGCATGCGCGGTAGCTACCGTGTCGCTCATTCCGCGGAAGGGCAGCGCTCCCAGGAGAACCGTGTCATCGATCCTGTCGTACCAGTTCCTGTCCGTCACCTTCCTCATCAGCACATTGTACAGCAAGCTCGGGTAAAAGAGCACCCGGGCGGCCAGCCACTGGACGGGCATGGCTATACTGCTAGCAAGGGTTACCGGGAGCTGCGAGCCGAGTCCGCCATCTTCCCTACTGGCACTTCCGCCCTCGCTGGCTCCATAGTGTTCTGCTGGCAACCGGAAGTGCGAAGGATCCATTGGAAGTGTGGGCAAAGGTATCAATTCCATCAGGACACAGGAGGACCAAAACAGATTCAGAGTTGGACATCTCACTATTTACAAAGAAAACATTATTTATTAAAGTCAGTAGGCTGCTTTTGAGTTGAGTCCATTATTCAGTGATAACTGCACTTAAAGTGTAACTTAGGATGGCTTTAGTTACAAGGACAGAGTTTGGCACCCCTTATTTATGTTTGTGTGGCTAGGAGGGTAGCTCTATGATTGTATTTTGCCATGCTGGGTTTCATGCAATCACAGAGCTGCTTTACTACATTGTAGGTGAACACAATGAGTCTATAATTAGGCTAAATAGCCAAGCAGTTATTATAGTTTAACTAAGCCCCCCCCCCCCCTTCCCCAAGTTGTATTATTTTTTATTTACATTTGGAATACAGTTTTTATTATTGTAGGTGTTTAGTAAATAGTCTTAGGTTTTTTAAACACTTTGGTGATTTTTGTTTATATCCCAAAAATAAGCGAAGTATTCCACAGTAACATATTTGTAGGAAAATACCAGGTGTGACTAGTGTACCCCAATACAGAAATATGTAATTTTACTTCAAAAAACCTGTAAAAGGCAATGTGTGGCAGTTTGTCGGTGTATGAGGGATTGCCACAACAAGAAATGGGCTGTCTTGCTGCATGTAGAATTCACATGATGCAGTAAAGTAATTGAAGGATCATGTGGCATATGAATGCTACATGCTGCAGAAGTGATATGTGTCCAGGAAAACCTGGTGGAACTGACAAACCTAGTTATAGCCCTTACAGGGGAATAACTAATAATGGGTGTCCTTCCCCTTTCGAAGACTGAGTTGGCGTAGATCAGGCTTCCCCAAACTACGGCCCTCCAGATCTTGCTGAACTACAACTCCCATGATTTTCAGCCTATCTATTTCATTCATAGAGTCATGGGAGTTGTAGTTCAGCAACATGTGGAGGGCTGGAGTTTGGGGAAACCTGGCGTAGATCATGATAGTCCACAGGGTGTTTTGAGTGGAACAAGTATTGCTAGATCGACTTGTTTTTCTGGACACATCACTTTCCCATATTGATAGGCAGTGTGTGGAATATGTAAAACACATCCACCGCTCAACAGAATTTTAAAAATCAGTTCCTTTGAGATTGCATGTTGATTAAAAAACTTCTTATTCCCCCCTTCTAAAACATTCCTTTGGTGCTTTCCCTGAAAGTCAATGGTACGGTCATCAGCTCAACCTTACAATCTCACTGTCTTGGAGTTTTATTTGATTCTGGCCTCATTCTTACACCCCTTATACATTCTCTCTGCATTTACTGTCATTATTACCTTGAAGAAACACTCCGGACACTATAACAACTTCATCGGAATGAAGTTGCTATGGTGCCAAGAGGTACATTGCTTATGCTGTAATTCAATTAGCAGCAACCCTGTTTAAGCCTTCCTGGTTTAAAGGGACACTGTAGGCACCCAGACCACTTCAGCTAATTGAGGTGGTCTGTGTGCTGTGTCCCTTTTGCACCTAGTGCTGCAATGTAAAACATTGTTCTAGAGAACTGCAATGTTTCTATTGCAGCTCTAAGTCTGCCATCAGTGGCACTAGAGGACTTTTGGTCCGTTATCTGACGCTGAACAGTCCCACAGTCAGACGCACACAGTAATTCACATATACTGTCAAATACAGCCACATGCACATAGTCACTCACACAGTTACAGGCAGACAGTCACACACAAAGGCACAAGCTAACACACTCTCTCTCTCTCTGCCATTCACTCACACAAACAGTTATAGGCACACACACACTGTTAAAAATAGACAGTCACAAACACAGTTACAGGCAGACCATCACACACAGTTACAGGCAGACAGTCGCACACACAGTTACACGCAGACGTGTTGTCAGGGTATTTATATCAGCAGACATTTTGTGCTATGATAGAAACTAAAAGTGTATATTCTGAGTCACTCTGAACAGACCAGACTCCATTTTGTTATTCAAGTTAACAAAATGACACTATATTTCTATCTGTAAGCTAACCACTTTCCCAGAGCTGAGGAATGCATAGTATATACAAGCCAAGTGATAAGGAAGGGGGTTGGACAGACTGTCTAATGCTAATGGAATATAATCAAATCTAAACCCAGACAATTGTGACAGAGAAGATTAAATAATAATATTTAACTGTCTATATATATAAGGTACCATTGTATGGAAAAGGGTAAACTTAGTTCATGATCTGCCATATCAGAAATTATAGCAGATTTACCAGACACATAGTCTGGACAAAATTTAAGAAACCCTCTGATCTTTGAAGGATACGTAAGTTATAGTGGTCATTTGAGATAAGCAAAATGACGTCAAAATAGCCACCAGGAAAAGTTAACTCTTTCCTGGATAGGTATGTTTAGTGGGACAAGATTGCCCTCTACAGACCAAATAACTAATTTGCGATCTGGAAGATAACCACACCTCTAGTGCTTCTATTGGGTTATCAACTGATGACGTACAGAGAGTCTGGCCCTTTAAAAGTTAAGACAAAGGGAAGATAGAGAAGAGACGAGAGAGGAGGCAGATGCAAGATATGCAAAGGAGAGGAGAGAGGAATTGGAAGTTTGGGGACTCCAACTCGGACAACATCTGAGACTAACACTCTACTCCTAAAACTCTAACACTTAGAATTTACTGACTTTCTAACCAACACCTCCATGCAGAGAGACTACCAATCGGATGAAATATCTACTCAACTGGTAATTATACTGGTTTCATTTAATTAAATTAAATTAATTAAAATGTATTAATAGCATTATATATGACTGGATAAAGCACGGTCAGATTTCCATATTAAGAAATCATAGTTAACTAAAGAATATATAGTTATAAACATTCCATTCTGCAGGTGGAATTAAGAATAATTATATATTGATGTGATATTATCACGTGTTAGCATACCGCTGTTTTTATCCAGGTGTATTGATTTGCTCTAATTTAAGATAGATATCTTTTAGACAAATTAAAAATCTGCTTATATAATGGTAAATTCTCTTATTGGATGATTTTAAGAAAATGACTAATGAACTGGGTTAAATGTTATTTTATTTTTTTTTTTTTTGACAATCTTTATTTTCCTTTTTATCATTTTGTCACAGAAATGTGTAGATACGGTGAAATATCAGTTGTAACATCATATTTCTGAATAGCATAACAACATTCGTAGCCTTTATACTAACATTCTCAAATCATAAATATTTCAATAGTTTCCTTCACATGCATTAGGTAGTGTAACATATGATCAGGTTTCAAGGCTCCTAGCTCCTCTTGCATTCAGTGCGCAGTTTGTTGCACTTATGATGTGCACTCTACGTTTAGGGTGAGAACCGGTATCTGGTGTAGTAGTTGTAGGGGGTATTTAAGGTGTCCGTCCTGGAGTACTCCAGGTATCGGTGGTTTGTGTAGTTTGTTCTAGCGGGTGTTATGTCTTCCTGAAGTCTGTTGTGGTCGGGGGGGGGTGAAAACTGTCCGTAGTCTGTGTGTGGTTAATGGGTAGGGCGTGTCTGTGCTTATGAGGGGGTAAGGCAGTTATCGTGGTGTTCTGTGAGTTTCAGCTATATTGGCTCGGGGGTTACAGTTCCATCTGCCACGTATGTGGTCCATGGGTACCAGGTCAATGCACACCGCTCCGATTTCCCGTGGAGGTCGGCCGTCAGGGTCTCCATTGAGTATATGTCCTCTACCACTGACATCCATTGCCCCAAGGTGGGCGCTCTTGGCTGTTTCCACATCCTCGGGATCAGGGCCGGACTGGGAAAAAAATTTGGCCCGGGCATTTTTTTATCACAGCGGCCCACTAAGAAGGGGGCGGGGCAGAGAGGGTGTGTTTTGTCATCACTCATGACAAACACGCCCCCTCTCAAAGTGAGCATGTTAGTTCAATGCTCTTCCAGGGCAGACCATGCGCAGAGCTCTGCTGAAGAGCTCTAGCATGAGAAAAAAGCCCTGTATTTGTTCTGCGCAGTGCAAGCAAATTTAATAACATGCTTGCACTGTGTTTCCTTGCAACTTGTCTCTGGTGTCTCTATAAATGGATACCAGGAGACAAATGGGTCAGGAAAGAGTATTGTGCATGTGTTTTGGAGCCTACTTGGGGTATTGCGTGTGTGCAGAGTGAGCTGGTCGTGGTGTGGTATT